CCTCGAATCCAGGAGAATTAGCCCGACACCAACGCACCTATGGGCTGATGAAATCGCAGAGACTGGGTCGTGTTATAATTCTCGAATTGGAAAGACGCAGAAGCTGGTAACGCACGCTTGTTATTGGCCTCACGCGCCAACTTGTTTGCAGCAAAGATAGGATCTGAAGGATCAGCCGAGCCGCGCGACTGTGTGCTTTCAATTCAATGAAGTTCGAGGCGATTTGGTCTTCATTTGTAACCGAGCCAAGTGAGTGAAACCTTCACCCCGGCAAAGTGCCGAACTCGACCGAGGGCACATAGTGATCAATACTTGCCAACTCCACCTACTCAGTATCGCCGGAACTGCGCTACTTCTGCTCCCATTCCTGGGCTGCGCTCGCGAGGTTCCCCACCCGCGCCCTCTCGACTCATCATGGGTCGTTACTCGTCCAGGGGTGTATGAACTCGCTGGAAGCAACCTGTCAATCGAAGTGAAGGTGGTTGACGGGATCGTTGTGTTTCCAGTCCGCAATCAGCTAGACGAGATTGTTATCAAGCCTAATCTCGTACCGAGTGACTATTCCCATTGGGTCATAGGCTGGAATGAATCGACCCAAACCCTGTGGTTAGGGAGTTCGGATATCGGCGATTACGCGTGGTTCAAAAATGAGAGTGGTGGCTTCCAAAGAAAGTCGCTCGTGGATATGGACAAGAATGAAGTAAGAACAGCGCCTACAGCCTTTCGGGAAGAATTGCCTGAAAAAGTGCAGGAGCTGTATGAATCAAAACTCAATGAATAAAGTGGATTAACCGGCCAATTCCCCCAGAACTCGGCTCTCACAATCCGGTTCTTCTGGGCTGAGCACTCGTGCCTGCAGCTCTCTATCCCCGCAAAACCCCGCCTGGCCAAGAACATCATTTACATTCCCTCGGCGGCAGATCAAACTGGCCTATCGTTGTTTTTTTGCCTGTTGGTGGGCTTTGTGGCCGATCGGGGGGTGGATTTTGCCTGGGGGGAATGGACGCATGCTGAAATGGACTTGGGCCCTGGCGGTGATGGCCGTGGTGGGGATGACCTCGGGTTGCGCGGGTGAGAAAACCGACGCGGCGGGGGCGGATGGATCGGCGAGTGAAACCGAGGTGGCCGTGGAGTCGGATGCGGCTGCCAGCGCGCCTGCGGAGACTGCGACTACTGATGATGCCGGCTCGTCGAGCGAAGAGGGCTGGATCACCATGTTCGACGGCAAGACGTTGGACGGGTGGAAGGCGAATGAGAACCCCGAGAACTGGACGGTCGAGGATGGGATGATCGTCGGGCGGGGTGAGCGGAGCCACTTGTTTTACATCGATCGCGAGTTCACCGACGTCGAGTTCAAGGCCGACATCTGGCTGGCCAAAGGAAGCAACAGCGGGATGTACTTCCGCACGGCGATGGGGCCTGGTTGGCCCGATGGCTACGAGGCCCAAGTGAATAACAGTCACGGCGACCCAGTACGGACGGGCAGCCTTTACAACATGGTGAAGATTACCGAGCAGTTGGTGCCCGACGAAACGTGGTGGACGCAAAGCGTCACGATCAAGGGCAACCACATTGTGATTAAAGTAAATGACAAGGTGGTGGTCGACTTTGTCGACGAAGCCAACACCCGACAGAAAGGCTACCTGGCCTTGCAACAACACGACCCCGGCAGCGAGGTGCACTATCGCAACCTCATGGCCCGGCCGTTGAATTGACCCGCCGAACCAACAACCCTGACGATCGACAAGGAGGTCGAAGCACACACCTAAGAATCAACTTCAACAAGATCGATCGTTCCTGGAGCTAGTTTCCATGCGTTGCCTTCGCACCGGTTTGTTTGCCCTGCTACTTGCGGCCACCAGTGGGCCTGTGGCGATTGCCCAAGACAGTGTGCTCGAGCAACTGTACGGCACGGGCGTTCATTCTTACTTCTCGGGTCAATACAAAGATGCGGTAGCGTATCTGACCGGAGCGATCGATGCAGGAAGCAACGACCCGCGGGTGTACTACTTCCGCGGCCTGGCTGAAACCGCGATGGGCCAAGGTGCGGCAGCCCGACAGGACTTCGAAACCGGAGCCCAGTTGGAAGCGACGAACCCGACACGTTTCTACAACGTGAGCGCGGCGTTGCAGCGGATCCAGGGTTCATTGCGGATGGAGATTGAAGAGTACCGCACCGAGGGGCGGCAGCGTGCTCTGCAGCAACGTGAGCGCACGCGGCGCGAACGGTACGAAGAGATCCGCGAAGCCGAACCCGACGTGTTGATGGACGCTCCGGATGAACCCGCGGGCGCGACCCCAAGTGAAAGCCCGGCCGATGCCCCCGAGGTGCCGCTCGATACGCCGGCCGACGAGCCCGATCCATTCGATACCCCGGCAGCACCACCGGCCGACGAGCCGGATCCGTTCGATACTCCCGCTGCACCCCCGGCAGAAGCGATGCCGGCCGATGAGCCGGACCCATTTGATACGCCGGCCACGCCTCCAGCTGAAGAAATGCCCGCTGGGGAGCCAGACCCGTTTGGTGCACCGTCGGACGCCCCGGCTGAAGAGATGCCGGCGGGTGAACCCGATCCATTTGGTGCACCGTCGGACTCTCCCGCGGTGGAAGAGCCGCCCGGGGAGCCGGACCCGTTCGCCGATCCAGCTGGCGAGGCACTTCCAGGTCAGCCCGATCCGTTTGCGGATCCTGCTGGCGAGATGTTGCCCGGTCAGCCCGATCCGTTTGCGGACCCGGCCGAGGGTGCCAATCGGGAGGACATGCCCCCGGACAGCGCCGACGATCCGCTGCTGACTCCCCCCGGCGAGCCCGACCCGTTCGATACTCCAGCGGATGCCCCGGCAGGCGACATGCCGGCCGATGATGCCGACCCGTTTGCTACACCGGCCGACACGCCAGACACCCCGGCGGCAGAAACTACCCCCGACGCATCTGCCCCAGCGGGCGACGCGATGCCGGCCGATGAACCTGATCCGTTTGCGGCTCCGGCGGGCGATGCCGATCCGTTTGGCGAGCCGGCAAGTGATGCTCCGGCGGATGACATGCCGGCTGAGGACACTCCGGCCGATGAACCCGATCCGTTCGCTGCGCCGGCTGGCGAACCCGACCCATTTGGCGAGCCGGCGGGTGATGCTCCGGCGGGCGACATGCCAGCCGAGGACACCCCGGCAGATGAACCTGATCCGTTCGCGACGCCGGCTGGCGAGCCTGACCCATTTGGCGAGCCAGCGGGTGATGCTCCGGCGGGCGACATGCCAGCCGAGGACACCCCGGCAGATGAACCTGATCCGTTCGCGACGCCGGCTGGCGAGCCTGACCCATTTGGCGAGCCAGCGGGTGATGCTCCGGCGGGCGACATGCCAGCCGAGGACACCCCGGCAGATGAACCTGATCCGTTCGCGACGCCGGCTGGCGAGCCTGACCCATTTGGCGAGCCAGCGGGTGATGCTCCGGCGGGCGACATGCCAGCCGAGGACACCCCGGCAGATGAACCTGATCCGTTCGCGACGCCGGCTGGCGAGCCTGACCCATTTGGCGAGCCAGCGGGTAATGCTCCGGCGGGCGACATGCCGGCGGACGAACCCGATCCGTTCGCTTCGCCGGCTGGTGAGCCTGACCCGTTTGCTGAACCGGCCGTGGATGCACCGGGAGACGACATGCCGGCGGAAGAGTCTGATCCGTTCGAGGATCCCTTTGCCGAGCCGGCCGGAGATGCTCCGGCGGATGATGCTCCGGCCGACGATATGCCGGCGGATGACGCCGATCCGTTTGCGGACGAGCCGCTGTTTGATGAGCCCGAGGCCGACATGCCGGAAGAGGATGCGCCGGCTGAGGACGGGCCGGAGACGAACTGAACTGCAGTTCTTTTCTAGCGTCAGAAACATTCTTCCGCCGCGGTGCAACGGCTGTCGCAGGCACTGCTGGCAACCAGTTGAAGCTGCGCTGACACTGCACCTTGGGCTGTGGTACAAGCGGTCGTTCGCGCCGCAACTGTTCTCGGGAAGGAGCCCGCGATGTTAGAGAGACCTAGGCTTGGTTCGTTCGCAGTCGTAATGGCCGCTACGGGTATTCTCTTCTCAGTCTGTTCGACTTCGGAAGCAGCCGAGAAACGTGCCGCGGTGCAGGGCGCAGGCAAGCCGAACCAGTTCTTTGTGGAACTGAGGATGATCGAGATCGATCGCAAGGAAATGCGGCGACTGGGAATGGACTTTGTAAAGCGAGAAGACTCTGATAGCAAAAATGTCTTCACGTCTATTCTTCCAGACGTTAGAGAGCATGCCGAACGTTCTGGAATTGCTGCCTCAAACTCTCTACTCCCGTTTCTCCATAGCTTGGAACAGAACAGTGTGATTGAAGTGCTTGCCGAACCGAACTTGGTCGTGATTGAGGGGCAGGAAGCCACTCTCTCCATCGGTAAGACGATCGAGGTGCCCTTCCGGCTAGATCAGATTGAGGGCACGGAGCAGCTATTCGTTGGTACCCGGGTGAAGCTGCAAGTTAACCTTGCGGACAACAATACCGCAGACCTCGAACTTGATTTTGAGGTTAGGGACCTGATCGATCCGCCCAGAGCGATTCCCGGCCGACCAGGAATGAACGTTTGTGGAATTGATAGAAGACTTACGGTTCCGCTAAGCGAAACGATAATAATTCCAATTGGTCGGCGTAGCCGCATCGCGAAGAAAGACCTAGCGCCTGGCACTTCAGACTCGGTGGAATGCGAACACACCGAGAAAGTGGTGGAGGACAAGATGGCGTACGTGCTGGTCAAGACGACACCGGTTGACGCAAACGGTTCCTGAATACTGGGTGTATGTCGGCTGATCCGTCCCCGCAATACGGTGTAGGCAAATAAGCGGATCACGAGCGAGGGAAGACGCCCCCTCGGGTACAACCCGGTATCTGGTCGATTTTTTTGCGATTGGTAAAATGGACGGCTGCCTTTCGTCGCGTTGTCCCGTAGCGACGGTAGCCGTTTTTAACCGTTTGGTCGCCGGCGATGCTGCGGCCGGCGTTTCCACCGCCCTCGATAGCAAAGCTCGGCAATCCGTTGATCCTCTGGGAGACGCTCATCATTCTGGCGTTGATTTTGGCCAACGGCTTTTTTGCCGCGGCCGAAATCGCCATCATCGTGGCTCGCCACGGACGACTGAAGCAACGTGCTGACGCGGGTGATCACGCTGCCAAGGTCGCGCTGAAGCTGGCAAAAGATTCAAACCGTTTTTTACCCACGGTACAGATCGGCATCACGCTAGTCGCTACCGTTGCGGCGGCCTTTGGTGGTGCGAGAACGGCGCTCCATCTTTCCGATTGGCTCAAGACTTCTCGCTGGCCGTTGGTGGTGGAGCACAGCGACGGCATCGCGCTGACGATCGTGGTGGTGGCGATCACCTTTCTTTCAGTGCTGCTGGGCGAGTTGGTGCCTAAGCGGTTGGCACTGAAGTACGCCGGAGGGATCGCCCGCAGTGTGGCGATCCCGCTGGATGCTCTGGCCCGAATCACCTACCCTGTCGTGTGGTTCATGGGCGTGAGCACGAACCTGGTGCTGCGGCTGCTGGGCGTGGGGCCGGAAGTTCGATCGCGGATGGACCTGGAAGACCTCGAGCGGGCAATTAAGGCCGGCAAGGACGAAGGTCTGCTCGATCCGGCCGAACAACGTTTGGCGCAGCGTTCATTAAGGTTCGGCGATCGGATCGTTCGCGACATCATGCAGCCTCGGCTGGAGATCGACGCGCTGGATGTGAACACCCCGGCCGAAGAAATCCCGGGAGCAACCGCCTTAGCAGGTTATTCACGGCTGCCGGTTTACGAAGGGTCGCTGGATCAGATCATTGGGTACGTGCACATCAAAGACGTCCTGCACCACGTCTATCTGGGCGTGCCGATCGATTTGCGGAGATCCGCTCGTCCGGTGCTGCACATCCCCGAGACGTTACCACTGAATCGGTTGCTGCTGCAGTTTCAAGATAGCCATACGCCGATGGCCGTGGTGCTGGACGAGTTCGGCGGTACCGAGGGGCTGGTGACCGTCGAAGACATGATGGAAGAAGTCGTGGGCGTGATGCGTGACGAACACAGTCGCGACGACGACTACCATATTGAGCCACAGGGCGACGGGGTGTGGCTGGTCGACGGGACGGCGAAGATCAACGATCTGCTCGACGCCTTGGCCGTTCACGATCCGGCGGCGCTGGAGTCGCGGCCGTTCTCCACGGTGGCAGGGTTGGTGCACAACCAACTGCAGCGTATTCCACGCGTTGGCGATCAACTCACCTGGCACTCGCTGGGACTGGAGATCATCGACATGAAGGGGCCTCGCATCGTGAGGCTAAGGGTCTCACTCCCCCCCCGACCGTAGCAGGGCAATGCCCGCCGGCCCCTTCACGTTCGATATCACTTCTCTTACTCCGTCACGTCCACTTTGATCTTGGTCGACTTCGACGGCTCGCGTTTTTGCATACGAATGGTGAGCACGCCGTTTTTGTAGTCGGCCGTGACCTGCTCTGAGTTGATGGCCATCGGCAGTCGAATCGTGCGACGGAAGGTGCCGTAGCAACTTTCGCTGCGATGGTAGTGGTCCTTGGAACGCTCCTCTGAGCTTTCTTTCTTTTCACCGGCGATGGTGATCGAATCGCCCGATACGGTGAGATCGACTTGATCAGGGTCGACCCCGGGAATTTCGGCACGAACGCACACAGCGTCGTCCGATTCCGAAACATCGACCGCGGGGAATGTGGCCCCCAGCGAACCCATCGCCCGTTGCCAGGGATCGTGCACGTAGGCCTCGAACAGCCGATCCAGCTCGCGGCCGAATTCACTTCTAGGGTTTACTTCGTCGGAAAGTGGATCCTGCGATTTGTATTTCCAGGGAATGATGGCCATGGTCCCTGCCTACCTTTCTTGCGATCCATCGAACTGGACCGCAGTAATTGAAATCCAACTAGTACGACTCCGTTATCACTCAACCGCCACAGCCCGCCGCCAGCTCCAATCGAACTGACGGCGGACTCTCGTCCCGCTTATGAACCCTGAACTTTGATTCGTCGCGGCGTGGCCGATGCGGCTTTAGGCAGACGCAACTCCAGAACACCGTTTTGGTATTGAGCGGTGATCTTCGAAGCGTCGATGTCTTCGCTCACACGAAACGAACGATAGAAGTCACCCACGCCGTACTCTTGCGACAGGAAGACCGTGTCTTCCGATTGACGCTGTGGAGTGCGGCCGTGAATGCTCAACTCACCGTTCTCGAAATCGACTTCGATATCATCGATGTTCAGCCCTGGCAGATCGGCCAACAGGTACAGATCGCCTTCTCGATCGAGAATGTCGACATGGGGTCGATACGCCCGACCACTACGGGTTCGCTCGGTACCGTTCGCTTCGTTTTCGGGAACCTTAGTTTCCGTTGTCATGATGATTGCTCCTTAGTGTTCCAGCTCTCACTTCGCACCCACGGTGAGCATGTTGGTGTTTAGCTCTTCGAAACTTTGATTTTTCGCGGCTTGGCAGCCTCGTGCTTGGGCAGACGGATGGTGAGAACGCCGTCTCGCATGGTGGCGTTCACCGCATCGGCATCCACATCAACAGGCAACCGCACTGTGCGGCGGAAAGAGCCGATCGCTCGTTCTTGCCGATGGTAGGAAACGCCCTCTTCTTTTGGCGACTTCCGCTCACCGGCCAGGCTCAGCTCGTTGCCGAAGACCGAGATATCGATCGACTCGGCATCCACGCCTGGTAGCTCGGCTTCGGCGTAAACCGCTTCGGCGTCTTCCCACATGTTGAGCGGCGGGAACGGACGGGGCGTGTTCCACGGGGCCGCATTGAGCTGCGGAACTTGACCTGTAATTCCGCCCAGCAGGCGGTCCATTTCCGAACGAAATTGATCAAACTGATTGGGCAGCGTATTGAATCTTCGCATCAACATCTCTTGTCCTCCTGCACCACGGGATCGAGGGTGCTGTTCCATAAAAATTGGGTCCGCGTCACTCGTGTCATTCGCTCGCCAGCGCGACCGATTGAGACATTACATGCACATCACCGGGTATCATCTCGTCACACTTTTCGCCGCCGCCCGAAGTGGCACAGCGGGCTGATTACACTCTCGAAAAGAAATGCAAAGAGTGTGCCAATCGTCGTATCGCCATGTGCCGTTTCAACTTTGGATGCAACGCAAAACAACGGGAAATAGCCGAGGCGTCGAAAGACTCGACGAAACTGCCAGATTGGCAGCTAGCTCAGAAGGCGGTATGAGCCGTTTCCCGGTTCGAGGGCTTCGTGGGAAGTCCCCAAACCGATAGGGCTGGCCCCGAGGCGGGCCAGGAGTTTCGGCTGTAACACCGCTCGGGCTCATACGCTTGGCCTTGGTATGGAAGGCAGGATGAGGAAGCCAGTGGGAGGCCGGCAGGTCTCCGGCGGGCGGGTTTTGAGTGCCCGAAACCAAGCCGGATCCTGGCATGGGCCGGAGGGTCTTAAGACCACCCAAGGCACCACCTTGAACGGAGTTGTGACAAAATCGGGGCACAAGTATACTGTTGGACTTGCATTCGGCGACGTGATGCCGATTCTGTGAATTCGCCACCGGGCTATCAAATATGCGGTTTTCGCTAGTCGACCGAATTGTAGAACTCGAACCGGGCACCCGGATCAAGGCGGTCAAGAATGTATCGCTGGCCGAGGAGTACCTCGCAGATCACTTCCCAGGCTTTCCTGTTCTACCTGGCGTGATGATGCTCGAGGCGATGACTCAGGCTTCGGCCTGGCTCATTCGGCACAGCGAAGACTTTGCGAATAGCATCGTGGTGTTGAAAGAGGCACGCAACGTAAAGTACGGCAACTTTGTGGAGCCCGGCCAATCGCTGGTCGTGACGGCACAAATTGTTAAGCAGGGCGAAGACGAAACGACTTTGAAAGCCGAGGGAGCCGTCGGCGACAAGAAGCACGTGTCTGCAAGACTCGTGCTGAAGCGTTACAACCTGGCCGACGAAGACCCTGAAAAAGAGATTGCCGACACGGTCGTTCGCCAAAAAATGCGGGAGTTATTCGCCCAGCTATATCAGGAACCCAGCGAGTCGGTACCCCAGTAATCTGGCATTGGTAACACGACCGCAAAGTGGGCAGAGCCACACGAATTCAATCGCATGAACCTCACTGAGGTTCGAATCGCCCTATTGTCCCAGGCGTTCATCCGTTACTAGATACATTGACCCGTTCGCATTTGAAAGCATAGCCATCATGTCCACTCGACTCTCAGGCCGAACTGCTATCGTGACCGGCGGCAGCCGTGGCATCGGTCGGGCATGCGTGCTTGCCCTGGCGGCCGAAGGGGCGGACGTGGTGTTCGTGTACCAAAGCAGCAAACAGGCCGCCGACGAACTGGTGGCCGAAGCCAAAGAAGCAGGGCACACCGTGCGAGCTTTTCAAGCCGACGTGCGAGATAGTGCCCGGGCGCATGAGTTGGTTGGTCAACTGGCCGAAGAGTGGGGCCACATCGACATTCTGGTCAACTCCGCCGGCATCGTCCGCGACGGGCTGTTCGCCTCGATGGAACAGAGCGGCTGGGACGACGTGATCGGTACGAACCTGACCGGCACGTTCAACTACTGCCACGCAGTGACTCAACCCATGATGTCGAAGCGGCGGGGAAGCATCATCAACATCTCCAGCGTGTCGGCGGAGTTCGGCAACCGCGGGCAAGTGAACTACGCCGCGAGTAAGGGTGGCATCGACGGATTGACCCGATGCCTGGCCGCGGAGTTGGCCTCGCGAAAAGTGCGCGTAAACGCGGTGGCCCCCGGGATGATCGCCACCGACATGAGCGAAGCAGTGCGGAACCTGGCACCCGATCGAATCAAGCAGGCCATCCCGATGCGACGTGTCGGCGAGGCCGAAGAAATTGGCTCCGTGGTTGCCTTCCTGGCGAGCGACGATGCGAGCTACCTGACCGGACAAGTCATTCGTGTGGATGGAGGAATGAGTCTGTGCGGGGTATGACCTGCAGGGCTTGTAGCATCTCAGAAGAAACGCACGCGAGAACAGCTTTACACGGGGAATCACGCGAGACGCCCCATTGTTTCGTTTCGCAGAACTCAACTACAAACCTGGTCGTTTCGTCATCGGGCAAGTCTGCCCCGTGGTTGATCCGACCGCATCGACCAACCGGGAGACCAAACGATGCCAACAACTGAGCAGATTTACGACGAAGTGAAAGACGTTCTAGTCGAAGCCCTGGGGGTGGACGACGACGAGATTTCTCCCGAGGCCACCTTGGTAGGCGACTTGGGTGCCGAGTCGATCGACTTCCTCGATATCGTGTTCAAGCTGGAAAAAGCCTTCGATATCAAGATCCCCCGTGGTGAGTTGTTCCCGGAAAACATCCTGACCGATCCGCAATACATCGAAGACGGCAAGTTCACCGCAGCGGGTCTCACCGAACTGAAGCAGCGGATGCCCTTCGCCGACTTGGAAGAGTTTTCGAAAGATCCTCGCCGCGAAGCGTTCCAAGACCTGTTCACCGTGGAAACCATCTGCAAGTACATCCAAACGAAGGTTTCGTAGTTAGAAACGCAATCGCCATTGATTGCATTTCTGTAGGGAACGCCCTCCGTGGCGTTCCGAACCTGACTGCAATCCACGGAACGCCACAGAGGGCGTTCCCTACAGAGGTAGGAAGCCTCAGGTGAAGCACTGAGAATCGGATTCGTTAACTATCACAACGCGACGCAGTTAATCCCATGCGCTGGATCTGGATCGACAAATTCATCGAGTTCGAAAGTGGCACTCGCGCCAAGGCGATCAAGAATCTCTCCTTGGCCGAAGAGCATCTGCACGACCACTTCCCGGGCTATCCGACGATGCCCAACTCGTTGATCGTCGAAGGACTGGCGCAAACTGGTGGGATACTCGTTGGTGAGAAGAGCGGATTCGAAGAGAAGGTGATTCTGGCCAAAATCTCGAAGGCCGAATTTCACTTCGCCGCCGTGCCGGGCGACACGTTGACCTACACGGCCAACATCGAGTCGTTCCAAGAAGGTGGTGCGGTGATCTCGGGCACTTCGCATGTGGGCGACCGCCTGCAGGGCGAGGTCGAGATGTTCTTCGCCTACCTCGACGATGACCAACGGGTAAAGAACCTGTTCGAGCCCAAGAACTTCGTCTTCACGATGAAGCTGCTGGGGGTGTTCGACGTGGGCAAGGCCAGTGGCGAAGGTGTGCATGCCCCGGCCTGGGAGAAGCTGAAGGCGATGACCGACTCGGAAGATGTGTAAGATTCCACAGAGCGTTTCCCTAACGTTTTGAAAATCTCAAGCCAAGAGTAAGCACGATGAGAAGACGTGTTGTGGTAACCGGCGTTGGTTGTGTCACCCCGTTGGGCGTCGATGTGGAGACCGTCTGGCAGCGGCTACTCAAGTCGGAGTCGGGCGTCGGTCACATCACCCGCTTCGACGCGAGCAATTTCCCCACCAAGATCTCGGCTGAAGTTCGCGACTGGGATGTTTCGGAAGTGGGCGAAGACCCCGAGCGGTGGAAGTACCACGGTCGCCACACACTGTTCGCCATTGGTGCGGGCAAGAAGGCCATCGAAGATTCGGGGCTGTTCGACTCCTCGCTCGATCCCACACGCTTCGGCGTTTACCTCGGCAGCGGCGAGGGTGAACAAGACTTTGGCCGCTTCGCGCAGATGATGGTCAGCGCACTGGAAGAGAACGGGCTGAGTGTCGCCAAGTTCACCAAGACTGGGCTGGAAACGCTCAACCCGATGTCGGAATTGGAACAAGAACCGAGCATGCCGGCGGCCCACCTGGCCAGCCTGTTTAATGCTCAGGGGCCGAATGCGAATTGCCTTACGGCCTGTGCCGCCAGCAGTCAGGCGATTGGCGAAGCGGTCGAGATGATCCGTCGTAACGATACCGACGTGATGCTCTCCGGCGGAACGCACAGCATGATCCATCCGTTCGGCGTCACGGGTTTCAATCTGCTCACCGCACTCAGCACCCGCAATGACGAACCAACCCGGGCCTCACGGCCGTTCGATCGCGATCGAGACGGTTTCGTATTAGGCGAGGGTGCCGGAATGGTGATCCTGGAAGAACTCGAGCGAGCGAAAGCCCGCGGGGCGAAGATTTACGGCGAGATTGTCGGTTACGGTTCGACCGCCGACGCGTTTCGCATTACCGACACCCACCCCGAGGGGCGTGGGGCGATCTCGTGCATGAACATGGCCCTGGCCGATGCAGGGCTCAATCACGAGGACATCGACTACATCAACGCCCATGGCACCAGCACCTCGGTGAACGACAAGGTCGAGTCGCTGGCCATTCGCAAAGCATTTGGAGAGCAGGCCTACAAACTGCCAGTCTCCAGCACCAAGAGCATGACGGGCCACCTGATTGCCGCCGCGGGTGCCACGGAACTGATCTGGTGCCTGATGGCCATTCGCGACAACGTTCTGCCGCCAACGACGAATTATGAGACACCCGACCCGGATTGCGATCTGGATTACGTGCCGAATGAAGCACGAGAAGCCTCGTGCCGCTACACGTTGAGCAACAGCTTCGGGTTCGGCGGGCAGAACATTGCTTTGATCGCCAGCCAGTTTGAGGGTTGAGCCCCGTCGACCTGTCATCCGCCCGAGTTTAGGCTTCAGCGCGGAACAGGTCGGGTACGCGGGCAGTCGTGCATAAGCTTTTCAGGGAGATGGTCAACCGTCTCGGATCATAGAACGGAATTCGACCACGACGGCACAACAACACGACGGAATCCTGCACCGGGTCAATGTGTCCTGCTTGTGGTTCGACTCTATGTTGACGAGTCCAAGGAAGAGAAGACCGCGTTTCTTCCTCAACCGGCATAAGTGATCTCCCAGCGTGGGATTGATTTATTTACCTCTTTCGTCGTGCCGTTGTGCCGTCGTGGTTATCCTGCTCGTCGCTATTCTTCACCGGTTCGCAGCTGACGACAGATTCTTTCCTCATCAGAGTTTCAGCTCTTTCTTGATGATAAGTGAACCTCTTCCGGTTCCTCTGGAACATCTTCCTAAGTAAGCAGCATGCGTTGCGGACAACGTTGATGTATCTGCGTTTGAAGACGCTTTTACCACGCAGCGAATCGTGCGAATTCTTAACTCGCTGCGATCGATGATGTGGCGGAAATATTTTTCGATCAACAACTCGTTGTGCGGGCTGGTGTTGCGCGTCGGGTTGATACCAGATGAAAAAATTTCGCTCAAGTTTTTTTGACTTCGCGCCGGCACCGTGTATATCCATCTGGCGACGCGATTGATCGAACGAAAAATCGAGTCGCCGAAACGTTCGAGGTCACTTGCATGACGGGATGATCGCCGCTCGGTGGATCGCCGTCGCAACCATTCGGGCTCCTTCTGTCGGGTAACGCTATGGTTCAACAACGATCGGGGTGCGCGCCTGCTTGGAGCGTACCGCTTAACAGCATGAGACTCGCTCGATCTGGCACCTGTCTTCGGGCGCTCAACTCTCAGTTGGGTGCCCTACGCAGACGCCACCGCTTGCAGGTTCAGCAGATCGACCTCCAGTCGGACTCGGTGATGCTTGCCCGCGGTGTTCCGCACTACCTCGACCCTTGATGTCGGCTTGTCACTTGCAGCCTTATCTCCGCTCGCCGTCTGGGTCCCGCGGAAGACAATTTACCCTGCCAACTAGCCCGCGGGCGGTCGTATCGGTTCCCACAATCGAACGGCCGCCCGCGGTGTTTTTTTGCGCTGCAATATCTACCGATCGCCCAACGCTGATGTGCCAGCATGACGAGTGACATTTACCTCGGCTTGGCGGCTAGCTATGTTCTGCGTCGCTTCCAGGAGAATGATGCAGAGAGAGTAGTGCCATGTTCCGCTTTTTGGGCAGGATGCTAGCAGTGCTAACGATCGCCGGGCTCGTGCTCGCCGGCGGCTGGCTTTACGTGCAGCAAGACGCCTTAGCACGGTTCTGGGCCTGCTATCGGGTCAGTTCGACCACTAATTACCCGCAAGCGAAGGCCGAGTTTGCCTGGTTCGAGACCGGCACCGATCGCGAAGTTCGGCTGCACGATCTGGTTTCGTTATGGGGCTCGGGCAACGAAACATTCGATCGCAACCTGGTTCTGTATCTACAGGACCCCGACTGCGACGACGCACTGCGAGAGGCCTTCTCGCTGGAGCTGGCCTGGCGCCCCGAGCTGCTGTCGCGTTGGGCGCATTGCTGGTGCCACGTGGGCCGGCTGGAACCGGACGAAAACTTCGACTCGATTGTTCGCTACATCGACACACTAGCGATGGCCGATGTGCCCCGCGAAATCACCTGGCGTGATGTGCTCGACATACAGGCCGCCTACGAACTGGCTGGCTGCCCTCAGTTGGCTCTGAGACTGAGCCCTGAGAATTATCTGAAGCGGCATGCCGAGTGGGATCAGATCGGGCGACCTCGGGCCGCACAGCTCACTCGTCCAGCAAATTTCTTCCCGCGGTGAATCACGGCTTCGCCAATAAAAAACAGCCGGCGCGCCCCATGGCACACCGGCTGTTGTAGCTCTCTCATCTGTTCCGCAGTTGGCTAGGCACCCTTCACATCGCGGTTGAGATCGATTCAACCAAGCACTACGGACCAATGTCGCGAGGGTTCTTGGCCAGATAGTCGCGAGGACCGCGAGTGGTGTAATACGGGTAGGTGACTTGAGCCGTGGGCGGGCCTGGAGGACCGTAATCGGCGTAGCTGCCACCACCGCCGTGTCCGCAGCCGAGGCATCCGCCGCCACCACCATAGCCACCCGAGCAGGGGCCACCTTCGTAGCACTCGTCGTAGCAACCGTGGCTGGAACAACCACCACCGCAGCCGCCACCACAGGCACTGTTACAATGGAAGAGTCGGTCGATCAGGCAGCAACCGGTGCTGCTGGCGACCACGACTGCAAGCAGCAGTCCGAAAGCTGCACGTTTCATCTGAGAATCCTTTCGACTTGGCGTAGGAAACCGCCTTGGTTTGCCGTGAGAAGCTCGAGCGCGCTGATACCGCTCAGGCCGTCTTGGTAGTCCCCTTCTGAGGGCTGTGCGACAACAAGCTGGATAGGGGAACACAGTCAAACCCCAAGCCAACAATGCATCCACAGGCAGATATCGGCCGCATAATCGTTACAGTCCAGTAAATCGTTACGATTGGGGGGACCGGTACGCATAGCGGCCTGTATTGAAGTTCATGACTCCCCGGACCATCCGATTGCTTGCAGACCACTGGGGGGGTATCATGCGGGTCTCGAATCGAGCACCTTATTCGTGTGATGTTGGCTCCGCGAAATCACTACTCTCGTCCCACGGCCGAATTTGCTGGGGCGAATTCTCAGACCACAGACGAATCAATTTCATTTCCTGGAGGATCTCTCATGAGGCGGAATATTTCGAGCATGATCGCATGGTCAGCGCTCACGGTGATGCTGGTTGGTTGCAGCGATCAAAACGGCGCGCCCTCTGCCAATGGCAACGGTAATGGACATGCCGAAGAAGAAACGCACAAAGTCACCACCATCGAACCGGGCGAAGAAGCCCAAGAGCAGGCGCAGCTCGCTTTGATCGATGCCGAGCCTGGCGACATCGTCGAGTTCGCCGAAGGTACGTTCAACTTCAACTCCACCCTGTCTTGCACCGTCGACAACATCACCATCCGTGGTCAAGGTCGCGACAAGACGATCCTCAGCTTCAAAGAGCAAGGAGCTGGAGCCGGTGGTGAAGGCATCCTTTGCACGGCCAACAATTTCACTGTCGAAGGCCTAGCCGTGGAAGACACCAAGACCGACGGAATCAAAACCGAAGGCAGCACGCATGTCATTTTCCGCGACCTGCGCGTTGAATGGACCGGCGGACCGAGCCCCGACAATGGTGCGTATGGTCTTTATCCAGTGTTGTCGAAAGACGTGCTGATCGAAGGTTGCCTGGTGATTGGTGCCTCGGACGCGGGCGTTTATGTCGGCCAGTCGGAAAACACGATCGTTCGCAACAACGAAGCCCGTGGCAACGTGGCGGGAATCGAAATCGAGAACACCGTGGGTGCCGATGTCTACGACAACGTGGCCACCAACAACACCGGTGGAATCCTCGTGTTCTCGTTGCCCGAGCTGCCCAAGAAGACAGGTACGAACACTCGGGTCTACAACAACAAGATCTTCGAGAACAACCACGAGAATTTCGCAAAAGAAGGCAACATCGTGGCCACGATTCCCCCGGGAACCGGCATGTTGATCATGGCCAACAAGAATGTCCACGTTTACGACAATGAGTTCCGCGACAACAACACTTCGAACGTTTCGATCGTCAGCTACATGGCCACGCAGCGTCCGTTCAACGATCCGGAATACAGTCCCTACGCCGAAGGCATCTATCTCCATGAGAACACGTTCTCTGGTGGTGGCGCTGATCCAAAAGGCGAGATCGGCTTGTTGTTCAAGGGATTGTTCCCCGGGGAAGAAGTGCCGGACATTGTTTATGATGGAATCGTCGACGAATCGAAGAAGGTCGATGGCGAACTTCCAGCAGAGGTTCGGCTCTACGTGAGCAACAACGAAGGTGCCGAATTTGCGAACATCAATCTGTCTGAGTTCATGGAAACCAATACGCCGAATGTAAGCCGCGATTTGGCTCCTCACGAAGGCAGCCTGCCGGAGCTTCCCCCGATTACGATCGAGGGCATTCAGTAGTTAGCGCTGGGAGGTAACTCGCAAGAAATATCTCAGACATCGATTGCCCTGGTTGCCGGGAGTTGCGACTTGCATCTCCCGGTGACCAGGGCAAATCTGTCGAGCGGTGGGTGGTCAGCACAAGCGGAGCATCTACCATTGACTAGAGGAAAGCTGGGCGCCGGTTCGTCCAGCTTTGTTTGTTCCGAAATCTTCACGTGAATCGGGAGCGACGCCATACAGATGCGTCGCAGGCTGAGGCATGAACAAAGAGTCGTTGGTTCGTTTTGCGGCGCGGGGTTTGGCGATCGCCTTGATGCTGCCCGTGATTACGGTCTTCACCGGGTGCAGCAGTAACCAAGAGTCCACTATTCAGGTGGAAGAAGTCTCCAGCGAAACTAAAGCCGAAAAACGCCCCAAGCTGCTTTCTTCGTTCGGCCTGTGGGAAGGCCCCCCCGCCGAGCAACGCCCGGCCGAAGGGGTGGTCGCCTACGATCTCAACTCCCCGTTGTTTTCCGACTACGCCTATAAGTATCGGTTCGTAAAACTGCCGCCTGGCGAAAGCGCACAATACACCGAATCAGAAGTGCTCGACTTCCCGGTGGGCACCGTGATCGCCAAGACATTTGGCTATCCCGACGACATGCGTGATCCTGAGTCGCCGGTGCATCTGATCGAAACCCGCATTCTCATTCACCAAGAAGACGGTTGGGTGGCGTTCCCCTACCTGTGGAACGAGGAACAGACCGATGCCACGTTGAAGCTCACCGGCACGATGGTCGATGTGGATTGGGTTCATACCGACGGGAACGCTCGCACGGTGAACTATATCGTACCGAATGCGAACCAATGCAAGGGCTGCCACGAAAACGTCGGGAAGGGAATCCAGCCCATTGGCCCACGGTCGCGGCACCTGAACAAAGACTTTGTCTATCACGACGGCACGACCGAAAATCAGCTTGCTCACTGGACCAAAGTCGGGGCCCTCGAAGGTGCACCGGAGAATCCAGACGATTCCGAGCGACTCGCCATTTGGGACGATGATTCGACTGGCACGGTTGAACAGCGGGCCCGGGCCTGGCTGGAGATCAATTGCGCTCACTGCCACAACCCTGATGGTCCTGCGCGCACCTCAGGTCTACATTTGGCCCACGATGTGAAGTTGCCTTCGGTTTACGGGGTCTACAAGACACCGGTCGCTGCAGGCCATGGCTCGGGCGGGTTGAAGTTCGGCATCGTTCCCGGCAAACCGGACGAATCGATTCTGTACTACCGCATCAGCTCCGATCATCCCGGCGTGATGATGCCCGAACTCGGCAAACGGCTAGTGCACGAAGAGGGCGCCGAGTTGATCCACGAGTGGATCAGCGAGATGGAAGAGCCGAAAGAGCAAGAGCAGCCCAAGCTGTCGTCCGCCGGCGATTGATTGCGGCATGGACGGCAACTTCTGCAGGGTTTCCCTGTAACTGTCGCGATGCCGCAACAGCTCGCCTCTCCCCGGGCGTTGCCAGAGTGCCTATCGAGGGCTTATCTTACACGGTCCGCTGCCTGTCGGTTGCTGTGGGTAGGAACCGCGATATCCGTCACGATGTCGTGAATCGAGCAACTTCGACCACGGTGGTGGGCTCGCCGGCCGTGCTCGTCATGGCCCACATCCCCCAATCCTCGGCCTTCACTCCAGTAGACGTATGGTTGCCACGATTGAGTACATCGAGAGCGTAATCGCCAACTATCAGGCGGCCGCTAAAGCGAATCTCAAGACACCGTGCCGCGATGGAAACGTGGTGCATATCACGTCGGAGATCGCCGACGATGTGATGATCACCGCCGACCTGCACGGGCATCGCAAGAACTTCAACGCGATCAAGAAAATTGCCGACCTGGAGAAACATCCTCGCCGGCATTTGATTATGCAAGAAGTTTGCCACGGCGGCCCGACGTACCCCAGCCAGCAAGGCGGGTGCATGTCGCACAGCATGCTGGAAGATGTCTCGAAGTTGAAAGCCGCCTATCCCGATCGGGTGCACTTCCTGCTCAGCAATCACGAGATGGCCGAGATGACGGAGTACCCGATTCTCAAGTCGAACAAAATGCTGAACCTGATGTTCCGCCTCGGGCTCCAGGAGATGTATGGCCCGGCAACCGAGAAAGTGCGCGAGGCCTATCGGGAGTTCATTCGCACTTGCCCCCTGGCCGCGCGGATCGGCGATGATGTGTTCGTGTGCCACAGCCTGCCGGAGAAAGTCGACAAGCAAGGCTTCGACGAGTCGGTCTTCTCACGCGAATTAGGCCCCGGCGATTACCAAGAACACAAAGACGTGTTCCGATTGGTGTGGGGCCGCGACTTTCGCCCAGAAAACGCGGCGGCATTTGCCAAGAAGGTCAAAGCCACCACGATGATTCACGGTCACGACCCCTGCCCCGACGGGTTTCGCGTGCCCAACGATATGCAAATCATCATCGACTGCTGCACCGACAAGGCCTGTTACATTCTGATGCCCACCGCTGAGTCGCTATCGCACAAGCAAGTCGTCGAGCTGATTCGACCGCTGCAAAAGTAATGGCGCCGATCTCCCTCTAAGTGCCCGCCCGCCCATTCAGCCCTCTTGTCGCACGAGTTCCAGTGCTTCTTCGAAGTAACGCTGGAATACGAGAAACCGCTGTTGGTCTCCGCCGCTGTCGGGGTGCAGGTCTTTGACCTTTTCGCGGTAGGCGGCTTTCAGGTCCTCTTCGTCGCAAGGGTACCGCAGGCCGAAGACCTCGATGCAGCGGGGCGTTTCCTCCAGGGCCCACTCGGGTAATCCAGACTGCCGAGGCATGACGCGGGCCAACGCGCGATGGAAGGATCGCAGATAGGCCCGATAATCGGCCACCATGAAGAAATATCCCAGGGCCGGCAGCACGATCACCAAAGCCAAGAACCCCACCACGGCGACTAATTCGCTGGCGACGGGCCAAGGTGGATAGTTAACGTGTGGATCCATCGCTCTGCCGAGGGGGTAACGCAGCCCCTTTTGCCGGCAGCAAAGGGGAAAACACCGAGAGACCGAGACTGGTCACTCTCGCTCATCACACCAGCGGCGGCAAGCCCTCTGTAGGTTGGGGTAATCGAGTAAATCCGGGAAGCGAGCCCGGTTGGTGGCACCGAACTTATTGGTAGTTTTTCCCACATTTCGCTTGCAACCCATTTGTGGCACGGATAACGTTTTATCGGTGGGGGTCGATTGCCAGTCAGGCGATCGCCAGTTGATGAGACACGCCTTTTCTCTGAGTCGCTACTGCAATACCTTTCCAACCCTGAATTCGCATGGCCATGGGCCAGCAACGCATATCTACAGGGGAATTGCGTTGTAAGCCGGTAGGCGAATGTTGGTGGGAACTGCAATCCGCGAGCGGGAATTGGCGGGCTGTGCTTTTCACTTCTTCAGGCGATTAGGAAAGGTTTGCCAGTGAGGCTACGACGAGAAGCATCCGACCGAGGCCGCTTGGCCTCTTGCCCCTGTAAATCTCGTGTGCGGCGCGGTATTCAATGCGCGCTGCTGGCCGCAACACTCGCGGCACTTCTTGGATTGAACCAACAGGCGTCTGCGCTGATCATCACCAGCGGCGATGGTTCTGGCAACACAACGGCCCCCGTCGATGATCCCGGCTTTGCTAACGTTGGTCGCCGCGTGCCAGGCGAAGGTGCGGGCAGTTTCATTTACCTCGGCAACAACAAGGTATTGACCGCCGCGCATATCGGCCTTGCCGATGTTCAGTTCGGCGGGGTTACCTACTCTGCGGTTCCCGGAACAGAGGTTCAACTACAGAACCCCGACACCTCTCCCACCGACTTGGTGATTTTTGAAATTGCCAGCGACCCCGGCTTGCCTGGTGTGACGATCTCGTCGACCGCCCCGACGAATGGGTCGGACATTGTGATGGTCGGCAACGGCCTGCGACGCGTTGCCTCGGAGACCTACTGGAATGTCGATACCTCCGACTCGATGAATTGGGTGTGGAACGCTGGAACGATGGCTTCGCACAACGCCAGCGGTTTTGCCTATAGCGGTTCGACTGGAATCCGCTGGGGCACCAACCAGATCTCCGACAACGACTTCGATTTCGTGGTTCCCGAAGGTGATGTCGAAGGGATGGCGATCGTCTTCGACGAGGGTGGTACTGCCCACGAAGCTCAAGCCTCGACTGGCGACTCCGGCGGTGCAATCTTCTACAAGAACACCGACACCAATCAGTGGGAACTCTCGGGCATTATGATCACCACGACTAGCCCGAGTGCCTGGTCAAACATACCGGCATTCCACGGCATCTACGGCCAGGCAACTTTGGTGGCCGACCTTTCGGTCTACGAAGATCAGATCGTGGCCGCCGTGCCCGAGCCTGCAACTGCACTGCTACTTGGAATGGGCATCCCCGCTCTGTGGGTGCTCGCCCGCCGACGTAAATTGGCAGCTTAATTCCGCCTCGCGGGCCATCATACTTCACTCGCATGGGATGCTAACGAACGCGTCCCATGCGGCTGAAGTTAGGGTAGAACGGCACGCGAATGTCGGTCCCCGGCAGCGGCACCGAGAACGAAGTCTCCCAGGCGTGCGGCCAGTAGATCATCAGGGCCTTGCCAATCATCAAGTCGCGGTCGAAGAAGTGCTCGCCCCCGCCCCACAGTCGCCCATCTTGGCTGCGTGCGCTGTTGTCTCCCAGCACGAAGAACTGATCGGGCTCGAGCGTGAACTCCACCGTTCGCATCTGTTCGTCGAACACCTTTGGCCACAGTGCCGGGGTGGAAAAGAACTCGGCGATCTCACTTTCGCTGCCCATCGAGAACGGCAGGTAGATGTAGTCGCTTAACCGACTCTGGCGATCAGCGATGTAATAGATATCGCGTTTCAGCTCCAGGTGTTCGATGGTCAGCTTCGTCTCTCTCGCACCAATGCGCAATGGGGTGAGATCTTCGGCCGTGGGAACAGTGCGATCGAAGCTGGGGTATGCCGTCGGGGCATCGAAAGAGACTAGCGTCTCGTCAATCCACAGCAGAAGTTGATCGTCGACATTGGCGAAGCGAATGCGACGCGGTCCGCCGGTGAGTTCGATCCCCTCGGCCGTGGGACGAAAGTCGGCGATGGCGTCGATCTGCAGCCGCACAGAGGACTTGTTCAGATTGAATACACAGCGGAACTGCCGTCCACCTTTGATAAGCACAAAGGTGAGCGATCCACCTTGATTCACCTGCTGCACATCGACGGTGCACTCGATGGCCAGGTCGCCAACCCAGTGCAGCCCTTTTGATTCGTTCTGATCGCTCGAGTCTTCGTACTCGCCAATGGGCGAGTTGTAGGCGGTGCGATCGGTGATGAGTTGTGGCCGAGGGGCCCCGATATCCCAGGGAATGTTCTGCTCGGCGGCCGCCCAAATCTCCGATGGTGGCAACAAATGGTGATAGGCCAGCCAGACCGTGTCCTGGGTGGGGCTTTCGACACTGAACTTTCGATGGCCTTCGTCGCTTACCCAACCATTGCTGGGCGGTGCCCCAGTGGGCGACCAGGGACTCCACCGCGGGGGCCAGCCCAGGCTTTGCAACCGCGAAGATTTGTAGTCGTTGTTGTGAACCCCTCGCAGCAGCGCGGCGACTTTCTCCGGCGGCTTGCGGGCGATCGTGAATTGATCGCTGTCATTGCCGCGGACGTAGATGTTGCCCTGGGCGATTTGCACTGTCTCGTTCGGCAGGCCAATGAGCCGTTTGATGTAGTTGGTAGCCGCCCCGTGCGGATAGCGGAACACCACGACATCCCACCGCTGCGGATCTTCGGTGGCATAGGCTTGTTTGCCAACCAGGATGCGGTCGCCCTTGTACGACGGGGCCGTGATGTGGCCGTCGGTATCTTCAAAAGACATTTTGTAGTTACAGTTCGGGCAAACTCCGCCGCGGATAGCCGAGTGGTTCGCGGGGTCGATCACTCGCCCGTACTGATCCACTTCGTCGCTGGCGTTTACTTTGAACTCGATGCCGCACTCGGGGCATTCAACATCTTTGTGCCGGCCCATCAGCGTCGTGGCCATCGATCCGGTGGGGATGACGAACGCTTCGGCTTCGAAGGTGCGAAACAAGAAGGCCAGGATCAGGGCAATCACAATCGACTCGACCGTTTCCCGCCACCCTCCGCCGTCGTGATGCGTTTGCTTTTGGGGCGTGTGATGCGACGGCGCCTTATTCTCGATTTCGCTGGTCTCTAAACTCATGAATGGTCTCGGTGGGTGAGCGAACCGTCGCCGGCGGAGTTCAATACATCATAGTATCCGGGAGCCGCAGCCACGACGACTCAGCGAATATAGCGAATGCGGTTTGTATCGGGTATCTGCAATTGCAGCGATCCCCAAACCGCCCGTCGGCTGGGTAAATGCACAACGATTGGTCGCCCCACAAGCAGATCGGCTGGCACCGCGGGGCTATCGTTCCAAGCCCGGCTATCTTCCGACAACGGGCTGTTATCACCAAGAACGAAGTACTCATCGTCGCCCAATTTGTATGGCTTACCGATGGCCCAAGGCTTTGCGGCGAATGTGGGGTGCGTGTAGTACACGTCGCGTAACAATTGCAATTCCGTAATCTCAACTGCCAGTTGCAAAGCGCCGATCGCAACCGGGCGGGAGGTTGGTTGATAAGGCTTGGTCGATTCCTCGTACTCGTACGGCTCGAAAACCAGCTCGCCGTCGATCGCCATCAGAAACTGCCGGTCGTATTGCGAAAGCTCGAACAATGCTCCGCTGGGTGCAAGCGGGTGAGGGAATTGCACCTCGTCGACCAGCCGTTCGTTGTGCCAGAGCCGGGCGCGGCCGGAGGATGGATCGAAACGGACCATGAGTTGGTCGCGGCCATCGGAGATGCGCCACCACAGTGAACCAGGCCCCGTGTTCTTCGCATGACAACGTAGCATCAGGTCGCTGGCATGATTCAGCACGCGGGACACATGCTGGTTGTAGCCGCAGTTGTCGGTGATGGGCACTTCTTCAACCCGATTGGGTCGGCCCGGCACACGGCGCCAATGTCGATAGACCAGCCAATCGACGGGCGGTTGAATCTCGTCTGCGTTCGGGGGCGATGAATCGTCTGGATGCACGAAGCCGTCACCGTCGGCTTTCCACTGCGTGTTGGGCCCGTCGCCTTGCCAGCGTGGTGGAAGATCGGACTCGCCGCCGGGGCGATAACGGTTATCGAAGACGTTGACCGAAACGGCCCTCTGCTGGTCAAGCGTCTTGCGCTGGATTTCGCCGTCGATGTACAGATCGCCGCGGTGGATCTGCACCGCTTCGCCGGGCAATCCGGCCACGCGTTTTATGTAGGCTTTGTGTGAGATCTGGGGGTGTTGAAACACGATCACGTCCCACCGCTTGGGCGGGTGTGTGGAGAAGGAGTTCTTGCCAACCAGTAGCCGGTCGCCACTGATGGTCGGCAGCACATCCAGTGGATTGTCGGGATAGCCGCAGTTGGGGCAGACGGCATGCGTGGGCAACGGGGCATCGGTGCCCACAGCAAATTCGTAGCCACAGTCGGCGCAGGTCGCCTGACGGTGCATGCCCAGCAGCGTCGTGGCCATCGACCCGGTGGGGACTATGTACCCTTCGACATACCAACTGCGATAGATCAGCACGGCGATGGTAAGACAGACTACGAATTCGATTGTCTGACGTATCAAACCGCCGCGTTGTTTCGGGCTGTCGGTAAGATACGCGGCCATCGATTAACCACCCAGGTTGCTGGCCAGTTCGCCGGCACGTTTTTATGCCGGGCCGTTTCAGGGGGCCGAACCTGTTATTTGTCGCCGGAGGAATCAAGCACGGCGAGAAAGGCCTTCTGAGGAATGTCGACGCTGCCGATCGACTTCATCCGTTTCTTGCCTTCTTTTTGTTTCGCCCACAGCTTTCGCTTACGCGAAATATCGCCGCCGTAACACTTAGCGGTGACATTCTTTCGCATGGCCGAAATGGTTTCGCGGGCGATCACACGGTTTCCGATTGCGGCTTGCAACGCAATCTCGAACATGTGCCGGTCGATCTCGCCACGAAGTTTCTTCACCACGGCACGTCCACGGTGATCGGCGTCTTCGCGATGGCAAATCACACTCAACGCATCGACGCGTTTACCGCCAACCAGGATATCGAGCTTCACGAGATCGGCCGGATAGTAGCCCTGCAGCTCGTAATCCATCGTACCATAACCACGCGTGCAGCTCTTAAGCTTGTCGTACAGATCGTAAATCACCTCGGCCAGCGGCAGATCGTACGTCAGGATCGTTCGCGTCGGCGAAAGGTATTCGGTGCGTATGTAAGTACCCCGTCGATCGGTGCAAAGTTGCATTACCGGGCCGATGTATTCGGCGGGCAGAATGAAGTTCACCCGCACGATGGGCTGACGGAACTCCTCAATCTTATCCGCCGGAGGCACTTTCTGTGGGTTGTGGATTTCCAACAGTTGGCCATCGGTGGTGAGGATTTGATAGGTAACGTTCGGCGCGGTCTGCACGAGATCGAGATCGGCTTCGCTCTCCAGGCGTTGCTGAACAATTTCCATATGCAGCAGCCCCAGGAAGCCACAACGGAAACCGAAGCCGAGGGCGTCGCTCGTTTCAGGTTCGAACTCGAAGCTGGGATCGTTGATGCTGAGCTTGTTCAATGCGTCGCGGACCCCTTCGAAGTCTTCTCCGTCGGACGGATAAAGACCGCAGTAGACCATCCGCTTGGGTTGCTGATATCCGGGAAGCGCTTTCACGTCGGGGTTGTCGGCCGAGGCCACGGTGTCGCCGATGTGGACATCGCTGAGCGACTTAATGTTGCAGATGAGGTAACCGACCTGTCCGGCCTTCAATTCATCGCACGACTTGCGCGTCGGCACAAACTGGCCCAGGTCGACGATCTCGTGCGTGGTGCCGGCTTTGAGAAAGCGAATCTTCTGCCCCTTGCGGACGGTACCACTCATCATTCGCACATAAGTGATCGCGCCACGGAACTCGTCGTAGTGCGAATCGAACACCATGGCTTGGGCGTCGGCATCGGGGTCGCCCACCGGGGGTGGAATCCGCTCGACGATGGCTTCAAGCAGTGGTTCAATTCCAATGCCGGTCTTGGCGCTGCAGCGTAAGACCCCATCTGGGTCGATGCCGAGGCTCTGCTCCATCTCGACCAACACTTCGTCCACGCGGGCGTGAGTGAGATCGACCTTGTTGATGACCGGGACGATCTCCAGGTCTTTCTCAATGGCCGCGTAGGCGTTGGCTACGGTTTGCGCTTCGACCCCTTGGAATGCGTCAACCAGCAGGATGGCCCCCTCACAGCAGACGAGGCTGCGGGAGACTTCGTAGTGGAAGTCGACGTGGCCGGGAGTGTCGATGAGATTCAGCTCGTAGACTTTGCCTTTGTATGGATAGCGGAGCGAAACGGCGCGGGCTTTGATGGTGATGCCGCGATCGCGCTCGAGCTGCAGATCGTCGAGGATCTGTTCGCGGAGTTCCCGCTTTTGCAGCGTACCGGTACTCTCCAACAGCCGATCGGCCAGGGTGCTTTTGCCGTGGTCGATGTGGGCGATGATCGAGAAGTTGCGAATTAGGTTACGGTCGAATGGTGGCAACTCTGTGTTCCTTGGCGATGCCGAACATCCAATGCCTGTCTACGCGAACGGGACGTGTGTAGACCGGGGGCGCGATGGATCTCTCAGCGAAACTCGTGGCGGGGTCCTCACCCTCGGTTCCTTGTGCCCGGGCCGTTAAGCACCTTGTGCCTTGCGCCACGCGATCCGGGCGATGCCAGCGGCGCCGACGTATCCGGCGTCGCTTCCGAGTGAGGCATAGTCAATCATCACCCGTTCGGCGATTACAGGAAAGGCCCGTTTGTGGACTTCTCTGCGAAACTCCTCCATAAACTCGCGTCCCAACTGGGTTTCGTTGCGGCCGAAGGTCATCCCACCCCCCAGGACGATGCCGCTGGGGTCGATGGTATGCAGCAGGGTGACCGCCCCGATGCCCAGATAGCGGGCCGTTTCGAACACGATCTCACGCGACACGGCGTCACCGTTTGAAGCCTCCTGGGCCAGCATTTTCGGGGTCAGCTCTTCTCCGGCGGTAATGCGGGCCGATAGCGACGATTCGCGGCCGGAGGCCAATGCTTGCTGGGTGCGGTCTACGACGTGGGGGGCACTACAGTAGGCCTCGAGATGGCCTGGCTGGCCGCAGCCGCACATGCGGGCGTCTTCGGCGGGGGCGATGATGATGTGCCCACATTCGGCCCCGTGGCTGTTTTCGCCTTCGATGCTGAGGTCGCCAATGATGATCCCACAGCCGATTCCGGTGCCGAGGGTGAGCATGACCATGCTGTGCATCGAGGTTCCGGCCCCGATCCAGAACTCGCCGTAGGCCGCGGCGTTGGCGTCGTTGGTGAACGTGACCGGGAGCCCGCAATGGTGGCTGAGGCGGTCTCGAATCGGAAAATCGAACCAGCCAGGCAGATTGTGGGGGCGAATGAGCATCCCGGCCGGGACGTCCATGGTGCCGGGCGAGCCGAGCCCCACTTGCTTCACATCGCTGCTGGTCAGCCCTGCGGCGGTGATGGCTCTGCCGAGGGCGTCGCTCATCCGCTTGGCCCCGTTCTCGGCCCCCTGTTCGGCTTCAGTGGGCTCGGTGAGGTAACTGAGCGTGCGCCCCTGATCGTCGACGACCCCGATCTTGACGTTGGTGCCCCCCAAATCGACCCCCGCGAAGAACGGAGCTTGTGCGTCGGCGGCCTTAATAAACTGGGCGGGATCGGGCATTTGCGTACGGTACGTCAGCGTCGAAAAGAGGGTTCAATCAGTTGGATCGGAGTATAGAACGTGGCCGGTTGGTCGACAATCGCACGAGAGCCGGATGCCAAGACGTGGTACCGGGTTCCGCTGAGTGCTCGCTAGATGCGCGCGTGCTTTTCGGCGAACGTGTGGAGTCGTTCGACTTCGTAGCGGCTGCCAACGACAAGGGGGATGCGTTGGTGCAGGGTGTGGGGCTCAATCTCCATGATCCGCTGGAACCCGTTGCTGGCCATCCCGCCGGCTTGCTCGGCTAGGAAGGCGATGGGGTTGGCTTCATAGAGGAGCCGCAACTTGCCATCGGGATTGGTGGCCGTCGAGGGGTACATGAAGATCCCACCCTTGAGCAGCGTGCGGTGGAAGTCGGCCACCAGTGATCCGATGTACCGCGACGAGTAGTGCGTGCCGTCTTCGCCCGACTTGAGCCAGTGCAGGAACCGGCGGACATACTCGGGGAAGCTGTCGGCATTGGCCTCGTTCACCGAGTACATGTTCCCCCGATGCGGCATCTTGATGTTGGGGTGGCTTAGCACGTACGCGCCGATGAGTGGATCGAGCGTGAAACCATAAACCCCATCACCGGTGGTGTAGACGAGCATGGTTGAGGAGCCGTAGAGCACGTAGCCGGCGGCGATTTGCTTGTCGCCAGGTTGCAGAACGTCGCTGGCCGGGTCTTCGTGGTTCGACATGTCGCGGCGGAAGATCGAGAAGATCGTACCGACGCTGACATTGAGGTCGATGTTCCCCGAGCCATCCAAGGGGTCGAAGATGACGACGTACTCGCCCGAGTCGGCTTTGCTGAACACGACGCTGGGCTCTTCGTTCTCCTCGGAGGCCAAAACCCCCACATTGTCTCGATTGCCCAAGCACTCGAACAGCGCGGTGTTGGCGTAGGTGTCGAGTTTCTGAACCTTCTCGCCTTGCACATTCGTGGTGCCGGTGGTGCCAAGCACATCGGCCAGGCCGGCTCGACGCACCTGCGCGGCGATCATGTTCGTCGCCAGCGTGATCCCGCAGAGAAGCCACGAGAAATTGCCCGAGGCATCGGGATGCATTTGTTGTTGGTCGAGGATGTGTTGTGCGACGGTGAGGGCGTCGTGGCTGACCGGAGTTCCATTTGCGGTGACGCGGCCGCTCAGCGGATTGAGCGGTTGTTTCATGCTCGCCCCATGACAAAAGTTGATGGGAAAGATTAGTTGAACAGCATGATCTCGACTTTCACGATGATACTCGGATTCACGTATCGCTGTACAGCGGCAATACGTCGCAGGTGAGAACTGAAACGTAACAACCCGTGTCCAGTTTGAGGTTTGGATGCAACGCGGCTGAGGCGTGACGTTCCTGTGCGAAACGGCCCGTTAGACTCGCATCTCGGTTGGTTTGCGGTCTCCCACGAGTGAGCGATGCCCTCGCCATGTGACTGGGCGCGGAATAGAATGCGGCCCGTGACGAATTCTACGGAACATAGCGAGCGGCCTTTCAGTTCCTCCGCAGATTTGCGGATGGGTGCGTTTCTGGGCATTCTCTCGGCGGTAGCCTACACGGCGGCCAACATCTTTCTGCGGCACGTGGCCATCGACTGTGAGCCGGCGTGGGTTTCCTTCAACAAGGCTATTCCAGCCACCGTGGTGGGGTGGGTGCTGGTCCTGATGGGGATGTCGCAGGGGCGACGAATGATGCCCCCCCGCGAGTTGCTGCGGACCCTGATCGGGTTGGCGATCTTTGTCCAAATCGCCGGGAACATCGCCTTCCAATGGTCGCTGGCCCAAGTGGGATTGGCCCTGGCCGTTCCGCTGGGGTTTGGGATGATCATCGTCAGCGGTGCCATCCTGGGGCGTATCTGGCTTTCTGAGCCGATTACTGGTCGCTCGGCGATTTCAATTCTGGTCCTGATTGCCGCCGTGGGGATCCTTAGCGTGGGTGCCGCACCCGATCAGAAGGCCGTTCTCTCCGAGTCCGTAGCCAAGCCCGCCATCGTGCTGGGCGTGATTGCCGCCTGTTCTGCGGGATTTGCTTACGCAGTGAATACCACCTACATCCGGGCGATGGCCCTCGGGGCGATGCCGGTGGCAACCACGTTGATGGTGATTAGCACCGTCGGAGTCGTCGTCCACGGGCTGATCACCGCCGTGCAGATCGGATGGACGGGCGTTACGGCCACCACACCCGAGCAGTGGGGAGCGATGTACGGCGCCGGGATCAGTAACGCGGTGGCCTTCTTTTCACTCGGTTACGCACTGCAACGAATCAGCGTGCTGCATGTGAATATCCTCAACGCCTCGCAGGTGGCCATGGCTGCGATCGCGGGCGTGTTGATCTTCGGGGAGAAGCCCAGCATGGCAATGTACGTCGGTTGCGGGCTCACGGCCCTGGGGATGATTCTGATCCAGGCCCGTAAGAAGGACTCGGCCCTGGAGCGGCTCGAGGAGGAAGAAGCCGAGGCCGTTCACACCCACGTCGAACCGGCCAAGCCCACGGCCCGGGTGAGCCATTCGGTCGCCTCTGCAGAATAGCGGCGGGCACTTGGCGGCCGCGGATTCTGCCGAGAACCATCCTTCACACCCCCCTTCCGTGCTGTTTGGGCAACCTCTACGGCTCCCAAGAGGCCTCAGCCCAGAAATTTTTGGAAAGTTTTCCAAGATCGACCTGCTACCGGCGATTTACCTCACGTGGCGGCATGACCCGGGTATGCCGCTTAAAAGCAGCACAAGACACAAGTTTGGGTCCGGTAAAGCCGGAAAGGGGAGTTTGAGATGATTAAGAAAGTGTTGATTGGAAGCGTCGCGGCGGCGGTCGTGACCGGATTCTTCTTCGGGCGGGATGCCTTCAGCTACGTCGGCACATCGATCGGCTGGGTCAAAGACTCGGTTCGCGACACCGTGCCCATGGAGTTCGAAATCGAACGCGCCCGCAAGATGATTCGCGATCTCGATCCCGAGATTCGCCAGCAGATGCACGTGATCGCCAAGGAAGAAGTGGAAGTTGAACGGCTCCAGCGCGAAGTGGCCGCTCTTACCGGCAGCCTCGACACGCAACAGGCGCACATCATGCGTCTGAAGACCGACCTGGAATCGGGTGACGACGTGTACCAGTACGCTGGGCACAAGTACACCGCCGACCAGGTCCGCAACGACTTGGCTAACCGCTTCAAGCGGTTCAAGACCAAGGACGCCACGTTGGCCAGCTTGCAGCAAATCGCCGAGGCACGAAACAAGAGCCTCACCGCTGCTCGCGACAACCTGGAGGGCATGCGTGTGGCCAAGCGACAACTCGAAGTTGAAATCGAGAACATCGAAGCGCAGCGCAAGATGGTGCTGGCTGCCAACACCACGTGCCAGTACAAGTTCGACGATAGTCACCTCAGCCGCGTGAAGCAGTTGGTGGCCGACTTGCAGACCCGTCTGGAAGTGGACCGCAAGCTGCAAGACGTCGAGGTCGAGTACCAAGGACAGATTCCGCTGGCCGAGCCGGCTCCCGAGAACATCGTGGACGAAGTGACCACGTACTTCAACGGACCGCGTGAATCGGTTGCCGAACTGTCGACGATTGACCTGAATTAGGTGATCGGAGGCGGTCGGCCAAGGGGCTGACTGCTGGGGCAGCCAGAATTGGGCGGCGGGCGCGTCAACGAGGGCGGCCCGTCGCGTACACTGGAGAAGGATGACGGCGGAAGCTTCGACCCTTGTGCGAGAGGCCCACGCTCGCATGAGAACGACGCCATGGCTTGACGCTCGCGAAAGACTCGCAGTGTACGAGCCGTCCACAATCGGCCGGCTCGGGCCATGGTCTGGTGGTGTGCCACACAACACGTTGAAGGTGTGGCGAACTCTTGGAGAGATTGGGCATGTTTCAGCCCTGGCGACTCAAACTTCGCGAAGCCGAGGAGGCCCTGAAGAGCGGCCGGCTCGACGAGGCGGGAGAACTGGTGAGCGATATGGAGCTTCAGCAGTATCTGCCGACCAAGCGACTCGTGAGCCGCATCGTCGGGCAGCTTGCCAAGCGGGGGCAACAACGAGTGGCCCAGGGTGACACGGCAGCCGGTTGGAAGGACTTAGAGACGGCCATGCGTCTACAAGCCGAAGACAAACAGGTCGATGCCCTGAGACAGGACCTGGTCACAGCTGCGATTCAAGAAGCCGAAACATTACTGGCCGCGGGCGAATACGAAATGGCCCGCGCTCGGCTCGACGACTTGCTCCAGCGTCAGCCGGTCAACTCACAGGCCAGCATCTTGCGACAAGTGGTTTCGAAGATGCTCGAAGCCAAGCAGCTGGCCCGCTACGGAAAGCTTTCGGTGGCCGACACCCTGCTGGAAGAAGCCGCCGCGTTGAGAAAAGACCTGAAGGTGATTGGCGAACGCCGGAAAGCCTATCAGGCAATGGCCGGCGAGGTGAACAAACTCACCAGCAAGCTGCACAAAGCCATGGCAGACGAAGCCTGGACTGACGTTCTGGAAGCGGCCGAGGCGATTTTGGCAAAGTGCCCTGAACACACTCCCGCCCGTGATGCCCGCCGAATGGCCTGGAACGCGGTCGGTGCAAAAACAAGCGATGACCCACAAGCGAACGATGCTCACAAGCGAACGCAACTTTCGCCCCGACCCGATCGTGTGCGACGAGAACCCGTTGCGGAATTCTCCGACGTAGCCACGGCGGAAAAGCCTGAGCGGTTCTTTCTGTGGATCGATGCGGTGGGCGGTTACCTGGTGTGTCAGCATGACACGGTGGTGATCGGTCAACCCGAGCCGGAAGGCCGCGTGGATGTCCCGATCCTGGGCGACCTGTCGCGCCGTCACGCAGTGATTCGCCGTGTGGGCGAAGGTTACCTGCTGGAGCCGTTGCGTAAAGTTCGTGTTAACGATGTGGAAACGGGAAGTGCCACCTCGCTGGTCGACGGCGCGATCATCGAACTGGGCGAGGGCGTGAAGCTTCGCTTCCGGCGTCCCCATCCATTGAGTGCCACGGCACGGCTGGAGTTCGTGAGCCGGCATCGCACCCAACCCACCGCCGACGGCGTGCTGCTGTTGGCCGACTCGTGCGTGATGGGCCCGAGCCGGAAATGCCACGTGGAGTGCCCCGAGTGGGCGCACGACGTGGTGCTGTTCCGGCAAGGTGAAGAATTGTTTTGCCGCAGCCCAGGCACGTTCGAGGTCGACGGCCACACCCAGCAAGACCGAGCAGCAATAACGACACAATCACGGATCGCGGGAGAGGGCTTTTCACTTTCGATTGAGACGATTTAAGGGGCCGCAGGAATGAACGATTCAGCGAAATGGCGGCCATTTTTCATAATCACATGTCCTCAGACGATTCTGGACAGATGCAAGAACGAACCGGTACTCTAGAATTAGTCAGCGATGAAGCGATGAACCTTCAAGCCACCGAACCGGTCGATCCGCGAGAGCCGCGAGGCGGGTCTATGAAATTCACCTATGCCAGCGGGGCACGGCCTCTCGAGGGCTATACCATCAAGCGTGGTATCGGCCAGGGAGGATTCGGCGAGGTTTACTACGCGCTGAGCGATGGCGGCAAAGAAGTCGCTCTGAAGCTCGTGCGGCGGAACATGAGCATCGAAGTCCGCGGGGTGAAGCAGTGCTTGAACCTCAAACACCCCAACCTCATCGATCTGTACGACATCAAGCATGACGAAAACGACAACACCTGGGTGGTGATGGAGTTCGTCGCCGGTCAGTGTATGGAAGACGCTGTGGAGCGTCATCCCGAGGGTATGGCCGAAGACGAAGCCTTGCGGTGGATGCACGGCGTGTGCGCCGGTGTGGCATACCTCCACGATCGTGGCATCGTGCATCGCGACCTCAAGCCGGGCAATATCTTTTGCGACGAAGGCATCGTCAAAATTGGCGACTACGGCCTGTCGAAGTTCATCTCGGCCAGTCGTCGTAGTGGGCAGACTGAAAGCGTCGGTACGGTGCATTACATGGCGCCTGAGGTGGCGAACGGTCGCTACGGAAAAGAAATCGACATCTATGCCCTGGGCATCATGCTATACGAAGTGATGACCGGTCGGGTTCCCTTCGAAGGGGAAAGTGTGGGCGAAGTGTTGATGAAGCACCTGACCGCTCAGCCCGACTTGAGCGAGTTGAAGGAGCCCTATCGCACCATCGTCGGCAAGGCCCTGCATAAGGACCCCGAGAAGCGATTGAAGAGCGTCAACGAATTGATTGACGCACTTCCCCCGGTGCCCGAGGGAAGCCTGGCGAGCATTCCGCTGCGTCGAACCGCTGAAACCATGGCCTGGTCGCCAGACGAGAATGGGGCAGAGGCGAGCACCACAGAGAATCACACGGGTGGGAATGGCACTGCCGCTATGCTTGCAGGCGCCACGACCGCGCGAAAGACACCTTTCGAATATTCCGAACCGGTATTCCTCTACGTGAGCAACGCCGTCAGCCGCGCTTGGAATGCCTGGCTGTACTCGCGATTGGGTGTGGTGCCGAAGATGATCGTGCTGATCATCGGGGTGATCGTTGCCATCACGCTCTCTGGAGCCGTGCTACCGCTGCTCATCGTTGGCGGCGTTTTCTATAGCTTGTATCTCATTGTGTGGGTGATTTTGTTCGGCGGAGCTTCGTCGATTACCCCCCAGGCCGATGCCGCGCCTCCGCCCGATGTGCCTCCACCTAGCGCGCCTGCGGCACGTCGTGAAGTACCGCCACCCATTTCGTTCGTATCCACGGCCAAAGCGCCGCCAGCTCCCCCTGCGCCCCGCCAGCAACGTCGGCGACGACATGGTTCGGCCTACGAACGCCGTACGCGACGTGAGCAGGCTCTGGCGGAGTTGAAAACGAAATCGCCACGCGATCGGGTGACCGAACTGTTGGGCTCGATGCTTCTGGCCGCGCTGGTTGCGGCGGCGTCGACGGCCGTACTAGGACTGGTGAGCCCTTATCACACGGTGGAAGACTTCGCCTGGTTTGCGTTGATCGGGACATTGGGCTCCTGGGTCGTGTTGATTCCTTCGAAGACATGGGAAGCCAGCAGTGGCGAGCGTGTATTGCGAGGGCTGGTGCTACTGGTGGCCGGCTTGCTGCTGGGTGCCGCGGCCTTCGGCATCACTCAGGGGCTCGACGTGCACCTGCTCAACGATCATGACTTCGCCGCGGGAAGCTTACAGAGCTACGAATGGTCGTCGCCTGACGGTGCTCCTTCGTACCTGACGATGCTGGCCTACTTCGCTTTCCTGATGGCTATGCTGCGGTGGTGGCGACAGGCTCACCCCCTGCGAACCACACGCTTGAGCATTGGTTCGGTGGTGTTGTGTGTACTTTGGGCCTGGGTGCTGAGTTTGTTTTGGGATTTCCCACAACCTTGGGGCATGATCGTGGCGGCAATCATCTCTGTGTCCGTTCAATTGGCGAGCCCATGGATTGACACGCGTCCCCATTGGACGCGTGAGGTGGCGTAGGAGGCAACGATGAACCCAGCCATGCTTGAAACACTGCTAGCCCAGGCTCACGGTTTCCCCCGTGGGATTGGGATCTTCAGCTTCCTTTTCATGCTGCTACTCATTCTCGTGGTGGTCACGCTATTGATGAAAATTGGTCGAGCTGCCTGTGGTCACGGACGTACTCCCAAGATTTTTGTGCTGATCGGTATCATCGTGGCTGGCGCGATCTTCATGAATTCAAAAGAACGTGAGCATCGCCGTCTGTGGAGCGAGGTGATTCCGCAGTCAGCGAATGCAGATAGTCATGTCGATCTCGTGGCGGATGAGAAATTCATCTTCACGATCCGGCGTGGGAAGCGATTGCCGGAAGCAGTGACGGGCGTCGACCTGGCGCTTTCGTTGAAGCAGTTCGCACACAACGTCGCCCTGGCGGCTCAAGCCAACTCCGACCCCGATCAACTGCGGTGGAATGAGCTCTCGGTACTGCGAAACGATGACGGAACAATTGAACTGGGCGACGTTGTCAATCTTCGCCGCATCACTCGTCGACACGAGGGCCCCCAGAACGAAGATCTGATCGAGTTGCGATCGGACGACACCTCGACATTGGAATTGTTCGCAGAGACGGCCACCGCGTTGCAAGAACGAATCGACCGCGAGTCGGACCCGATGCTTCGGCTGGAGATTGGCGATCAGCGACTGCTCATTCACATTAGCCACAATGAAGACATCGAAGTTGCGGAGTTGGCCGCTAAACCAGATCAAATCGTTCTGGATAACCCTGAGGAAGCAACTACAAATTCAGAGGAAACCACGGTCGAGCATTCTGCCAACGAGAAAGCTGTTGCGAACGAAGCCGCCGTTGAGGATTCGCCAGAGACTGCGTCGGAAGATCGCTATTCTGAGGAAGTCGATGGGATTATTTCAACTGCCATTCGAGGGCTGTTCGAAGGACTGGCCGAAGCGAAGCGGGAACGTGCCAGGCACAAGAGCGACGACAACCAGACCGTAAAGTCGGCCAAACCAGCCGTTGAGAATTCTGAAGAGATCAACGAAGCCCCAGCCAGCACTGAGAGCGAAGTGATTGAAGTTGCTGCGGTGGTGGCCACTTCTCCATCAGGCGGGGCTGCTGCTCCAATAGAGTTCGCAGCACCGGGATTGAACGACCAGGGAGAATACCAAATTACCATACACGCCGGCCCGCACTCGAACTTGAACGATTGCGAAGCGGAGTTGGCCGCGAAACGCGAAGCCGCACTGGCTGACTACGCCGGGAAGCTACTTGGTTCCGACGCAGCCGAGCACATCAATGCCGAGCAATTCTTGTATGCCCACAAGGTGCCCGAGCGAAGGAAGGTCGAGGAGTTCGAGCATCCCGAGTTCGGTCCGATGCTGAACATGTATGCCGAATTGACGTTCGACCGAGAGATTCAGCAGGCACTCAGAAGCCAGTATCACGACGCCGTAATCGGAGAGCGGTTGAAAATCACCGGCGTTGCCTCGGCCTCGGTGCTGCTGATGCTCTCGGCCGTGTTCGGATTCCTCAAGCTCGACACGGCCAGCCGTGGTTACTATCGTGGCCGACTCGCCGTCGGAGTTGCGGGAGTCGCATTCCTGGTAGTCGTGCTTGGCTTTCTTGCCATCGGAAGTTGACGCGTAACTAGGCAGACTCGCCCAACTGTTTGCGAATTTGTTCCCACCCGGTGCGCAACACAACGCCGGCAGCGGCTGAGGTCAACGCGGGGCTCACGGTGGCCACCAGACCTTTGAGCCGTACGACTTTCGCCGCCCAGGCCATTACGGTCCCACCGTTCTCTGGCGTGAGCTTGAACCTCGACTCAATGTCGATCTCGGTTCCGATCCCCCGTGCGGCGATCTGCATCAACGCCGACTCGGGCGGTTGCAAGTCGTTCATCTGAATCGAGATGTTCATTTTCCCGCGGATAAATGAGAACCCAGGGCGGACGACGCACTTCAGGTGATGGTCGTCTACCTTCTCGAAACTCTGCAGGTCGGGAATCAACTCGGGCATCAGATCGATGTCGGTCACCACCCGATAGACTTCCTCGGGCGGGGATTTGAAATGTTCGACCCCGTCGAAGTCCAAGGCTCCAGCGCTCATCACATTCCCTCGGGCTAGAAAAACGCTTCTGTGGGTGTTCGGCGCGAATGAAGTTGGCTCGCACCCTGGCAGAAGCGGCTTTGACCATACAGACTAGTATGTACAGAGGCGAATTGTACGTCCCGCCCAGCGGCTCGCAAAGTCGGGCCCGTTTTACGGTCCATCCACAGCGTAACCATCACCTCGAATCGCCTAAGGAACTGCGATGCGATTGAAGACTTATCTCGTGAGACCATTCCGCACGGCGGTCGCGCTGCTAGCCCTGGTTGTGACAGGAGCGTTGGCAACTTCTTCCGCGATCACTCTGCTGGCGGACGACGTTCCCAAAGCGGACAAAGCCACCGCCAAAGACGAATCGCTTCTGGATGGCAAAGATGGCCGCCCCTTGGCGTTGGACCAATTCCGCCCTCAACCCATGCTCAAGGTTGATGAGCATCAACTAACCGGGGCCAAGTATCCCTGCGTCGACGTGCATACTCACCCGAGGCTGAGGTTACTGCATTCGAAGAAGCGGCTCGATGATTTCGTCGAGATCATGGATGAACAGAACATCGCAGTCTGCGCGAGCCTTGATGGCAGGGTCGGCGATGAGTTCAAAGAACATGCCGAGTACCTGTGGACCGACTATCCCGACCGGTTTGTGATCTATGCGAACATCGACTGGGTGGGGGGCGGAGACCGCGACGATCCAGCCACCTGGGATTGTCATCGCAGCGACTTCGGGCATCGCACCGCGCGGCAATTGGCCGAAGCCAAGCGAATGGGTGCCAGTGGACTGAAGCTGTTCAAGCAGTTCGGCCTGGGGTATCGCAACCCCGATGGTTCATTGATTCGCATCGACGATCCACGCTGGGATCCCATCTGGGAAGCCTGCGGCAAACTGGGACTAGTGGTCATCATCCACACAGCCGACCCTGCTGCGTTCTTTCTGCCGATTGATGCCAAGAACGAACGCTGGGAAGAATTGCACCGGCATCCCGACTGGAGCTTTTACGGCGACGAGTTCCCCTCGCGCGAAGAATTGCTGGCCGCCAGAAACCGAGTGATCGAGCGGCATCCCGAGACGACCTTCATCGGGGCGCACATGGCCAACAACCCCGAGAATCTGGCCGAGGTTGGCCAGTGGCTCGACAAGTACCCCAATCTCTATGTCGAGATCGCCGCTCGCATCGCGGAGCTAGGTCGCCAGCCCTACACCACGCGGGAATTCTTTTTGAAGTACCCCGACCGCATCATGTTCGGCACAGACGGGCCCCGCGTACGGCTAAGGCTGTTGTACCACTGGCGTTTTTTGGAGACGTTCGACGAGTATTTCCCGTATGCCGAGAATGATTTCCCGCCCCAGGGTTTGTGGCGCATCTACGGAATTGGCTTGCCTGACGAGGTGCTTCGGAAGGTGTACTACGAGAACGCGATGCGGGTGATTCCCGGAGTTGCCGAGCGGGTGGAGAACTATCTCGCCGCTAGGAAGAAGGATTAACCAATGCCCACCGGCTCGTTTTTCTCTTCGTTCTTTGGAAGCACAAGCAATGACAGATCATTCACCAGCCGTGGATCGAGACGCGATCCTGCAGCTTGTTGAAGCACATCAATAGCGTCGGCCGGCGAATGTGGGTTCCACCAGCCGCGACCGTATCGAAGGTCGTCGTAAAAACTGCAGATGGCCAGGATGCGAGCGTCCTCCGGGATTGTCTCTCCGGCGGGGTCTCCCTGGGAACCATCGAACCACATTCCTGAGAACTGGACCGCCGAAATCATCGCTCGGTTTTTGAAGCAGCGACGCAGGATGTCGACTGTCACTTGATGGTGTTGGCGGGCGAAAATGAATTCTGCTTCCGTCAGCTCGCCCGTTTTCTTCAGCAAGTTATCGGGGATCGCGATTCGACCCACATCGTGCAGCAGGGCGGCCATCTCCAGTGTAGTACGTCGGGCCGGCACGAAACCTAGGTGCTGTGCAAACTGTCGGCACAACTCCGCCACGCGTCGCGAGTGATCGACGGTCGGACAGTCTCGATACTTCAAGGCCGTAAGCAGGGTGTTCACCACCTGGTGGCTGTCACCCTCCCTGGCTGGTACTTCAAGCTCTTCACTACTTGACATGGGTGCCAGCACGCTCGGACGGTCTTCTAGCTCGTCGAATCGCACCACCTGGTTGCGACCCATTCGCTTGGCAGCGAGCAAAGCCTGATCAGCATTCTCGATGAGCGACTCAACCCCCAGCATGTCCAGCGTTCGATTGGCAACGCCACAACTAATCGTGAAATTGAAATCCTTGGCGATCTCGGGCATTCGCAACGATTCGATCGACTGACGGAGTCGCTCGGCAACGGCCGCTGCCGCGTCGATATCGCAGTCGTAGAGAACGACAGAGAACTCTTCTCCACCGTAACGGCCCATCACGTCCGAATCGCGGAAGATCTGGCGAATGACCTCCCCCACCTCACGAATCACACTGTCACCCGCGGGATGACCGTACGTGTCGTTGGTGGCCTTGAAGTGGTCGATATCGACCACCAAGCAACTAATTGAAAGGTCGTAGCGAACGCTGCGGCTCCACTCTTTTTGGGCTAGTTCGAAGAAGGCTCGGCGATTGAGTAGACCAGACAGCGCATCTTTGATGGCCAACTCAGTTAGCCGACCGTTGGCTTCGTTCAGCCGCGCATTCTTTTCGCACAGGCTCTCATGCAGACAAATGATGCGGTGCCCCACGCAGACGCGCTGGAGCAGCAATTCGCGATCGATAGGTTTGTTCAGAAAGTCGTCCGCCCCCGACTTCATCCCGGTAGTGCGGTCATCGATGGCGGTCAGCAGCAGGATGTAGGGATACCAGGAAAGCGATGCACTGCGAAGATTGCGGATCAGCTCGATCCCGTCCATACGGGGCATGGCCCAGTCGGAAACTATCAAAGCATGCTGGTCTCGGAGGATAGCCTCGAAAGCTTCCTCACCGTCGCTAGCTTCGCTCGTAACGTAGCCGGCGTCGCTCAGTAGCTTGGCGATCATCCGACGCACGGCGGCGTCGTCATCCACAACAAGCACGGATCTGGTGGCTTCGCTTCCCACGTAGAGCACCTTCAGCGAGGAAGATTCGGCGAGAGATTCAGGCTCCGGTTCACTGGAAGCTGGGAGTGCCGAATTGCCCCGTCAATCCCGAACAACCTTCCTTTATATACATCGCAAACTCCCATAGCAGGGGTGGGAAATGTGACAACCTTCCGCCATTTAAAGACCGTGAGTATGGTGCTGGCAGAGTGCCAATCGTGTTCCAAATCACCCCCGAAATGATGGGGACTGTCGTTAACACGCTATTACCGGTAATGAATGGGTTGGTTCCTCTTCTCAGTCCCCCCCGAGTCGCTGAATTCTACTACCCCAGAGCAAGGCCACGTGCAGCTGACGTTGACCCCAGTGGTGCGTTTACTAAAATGTTTCGTCCTTTTAGGTTAAAGCGACATTTACGGATGGTGGGCCCCTGTTCACGTCTTCTGCCCACCTTCTCGAGTGATGAAATCTGTTGGGCGATGGGTGCGTACGGACGGTTATGAATCAAGACGGTGGTGAAGAAGCTGTTGGCGGCGAGATGCTCGAGGCCGCGCGCCGCGCTAAGATGAAACGGCTCGTCGAGTTGGGCATCGATCCCTGGGGTGGACGGTTCGACGACACACAGCCTATCGGAGAGATTCGCGCCCTCGAGTCCAAGATCGAAGCCGAACCGCAAGAGGAAGGCTCCGATCGGCCTCCCCAAGAAAACGGTCCCAAGGTCCGTGCCGCCGGGCGTATCGTGCTGCAGCGGAAGAAGGGCAAGCTGATCTTCGTCGATATTCGCGACGCGAGCGGACAGATCCAGCTCTTCATCGGTCGCAACCAGGTGGGCGACGAGAATTGGGCGGTAGCCGAATGCTTCGACCTGGGCGACATCATCGGTGTAGACGGCGAACTGAAGCACACCCGAACCGGTGAGCTGACCATCTTCGCCGAGAAGCTGCACTTCCTCTGCAAGTCGATTGAGACCCCGCCGGAAAAGCACAAGGGAATCACCGACCCTGAATTGCGTCAGCGGATGCGGTACCTCGACCTGATCTACACCGAGGGCTCGATGGACCGCTTCCAAAAGCGGTCGAAGATCGTGAACTCGATCCGGCAGACGCTCACAGCGCAACGCTACATCGAAATTGAAGGCCCCACGCTGCACTCGGTGGCTGGAGGTGCTGCGGCACGACCGTTCAAAACGCACCACAACGCGTTGGACATGCCGCTGTACATGCGGATCGCGCTGGAGTTGCACCTGAAACGGGTGTTAGTCGGTGGCGTTGAACGGGTGTTCGAACTGGGCCGCGTGTATCGCAACGAAGGGATCAGCCCCCGGCACAACCCCGAGTTCACCATGCTCGAAGCCTATCAGGCCTACGGCGACTATCGCACGATGATGGATCTTACCGAACAGATCATCAGCGATGCTCTCAAGGCCATCGGGCACGAAGGTCCCGTAATGTGGGGCGAACAAGAGATCGATTTCTCAACGCCCTTCCAACGAGCGACCTACGACGAGTTATTCGCCAAACACACGGGAGTGGATCCCGCCGATGCGGCGGCGGTTGCGAAGTTTGCAAAGACGCTCGATATCGAGACCGGCGACCGTCATCCCGATGTGATCAAGAGCGATGTCTTCGAAGAGTGCGTGGAAGACAAACTCAAAGGCCCGACCTTCGTGCTCGATTACCCGGCCAGCATTTGCCCGCTGACGAAGCGAAACCGCGAGAACCCCAACATCGCCGAGCGGTTCGAGTTGTTCATCGAAGGCATGGAAATCGCCAACGCCTACACCGAGCTGAACGACCCTGACCTGCAGGAACAGTTGTTCAAGACCCAACTCGCTGGCCAGAAGGCTGAAGACTCGATGGCCACGATGGATCACGACTTCGTCCGTGCCTTACGAAACGGGATGCCGCCGGCCGGAGGGTTGGGCATCGGCATCGATCGTTTAACGATGCTGCTGACCAACAGCCAGACGATTCGCGAAGTAATCTTGTTTCCGCTGCTGCGGCACGAGGCCCGTTAGTTTACGCTTAGGACCAAGAACCCAACTCAGTGCGACAGCTTTAACCACACAAGTCGAAGCCCGGGACGGATCTCTGGGATTTAGACGGCAAAGGATGGCCCATGTACAAGCTGCTTCTCTGCTGGCGTTATCTACGCACGCGTTATATCGCGTTGGCCTCAATCATCAGTGTCACGCTCGGCGTGGCCACGATGGTGGTTGTGAACGCCGTGATGGCAGGGTTCACGTCCGAAATGCAGGACCGCATCCACGGCATTCTTTCCGACGTGGTTTTCGAAAGCCGCAGCCTCGAGGGCTTTCACGACCCCGATTGGCACATGCAGCAGATCGATCGTGTGGCGGGCGAGTACATCGAAGCGATGACCGCCACCGTGCACGTGCCCGCCATGTTGCGGTTTCAATACGGCGATAACTGGATGACCCATCCCGTGCAGATGGTCGGCATCGATGCCAAGACCGCGGGCCAAGTCTCCGACGTGACCAGGTATCTGCAGCATCCCGAGAACCGAGACCAGCTGAGCTGGGACCTGCGCGATGGTGGGTTCGACGTGCTGCCTCCTGAGGCCAGCGAAGAGATGCCGCCGCGCGACCAATTGGAAGCGGCCGGTTGGCCGCATCGTCGACAAAAGGCCGAGCACGAAAAGGCGATCCGCGAGCGTTTCTCCCCACATCGGGTCGAGCCGCCTGAGCTTGATCTCACTGTCACTGAACAGGTCGCAGAAGAAGAAACCACCGAGCCGGTCGAGGAAGCCCCAGAGGCGTTGTCGAGTCTCCCTGGGCCGAATCAGGGTCCAGCTCCGGTCGATCCGGTGGCTTCTACAAGCGAATTGCCACAATCAATCGAAACGCCGAGCGACTCTCTGCAGAGTTCCATTGAGCCACCCTTGGCCGGCGCCGATGTGAACCCATTCACCCGATCCGGAATGGACCCGCAAGGGACGGTATTCGACCCGGCGACCGAACAGTTCGATGGCCTGATTCTCGGTATCGCGATCGCCAGCTTCCGCTCTGGCGACGGGCAAGATCACTTCCTGGCCCTGCCGGGCGACGACGTGCAGCTAACCTTCCCCACGGTGGGCACGCCGCCCAAGGCCGAATCGATGCCGTTTACCGTGGTCGATTTCTACGAAAGCAAAATGAGCGAGTACGACGCCAGCTTTGTGTTCGTCCCGCTCGAAGTCTTGCAACGAGCGCGAGGCATGATCGATCCCTCGACCGGGATCAGCAATGCGACCTCGATTCAGATCAAGCTCAAAGACGATCGCGACGGGATGAAAGTACGCGAGTTGCTGCGGGCTTCGTTCCCCGAGCAGGTTTATGGCATCTACACCTGGCGCGATAAACAAGGCCCGTTGCTGGCGGCCGTGCAGTTAGAAAGCCGCATTCTTAACGTGCTGCTGTTCATGATCATCGCCGTGGCGGGGTTCGGAATCTTGGCCATCTTCTTCATGATCGTCGTCGAGAAGACGCGTGATGTCGGAGTGCTCAAGGCATTAGGAGCTTCGAAGCAGGGCGTGCTGAGCATCTTCCTGTGTTATGGCATGTTGCTGGGCCTCGTCGGTGCCGGCGTTGGCCTGGGTCTGGGCCTGTTGATCACCTTCAACATCAATGAGATCGCCGCCATGATCGGCTCGTTCTCCGGCCGGCAGGTGTTCGATCCCTCGATCTACTACTTCTTCAAGATCCCCACGATTGTCGATCCGTTGACGGTCACGTGGATTCTTCTCGGTGCTGTTTCCATCGCGGTCGCTGCTAGTGCGCTTCCCGCGCGTCGTGCCGCCCGTATGAACCCTGTGGAGGCGTTACGCTATGAATAGTCGCAGTCTTCTGGCAGAACACCCCACGGGAGTTGCAAGCGAAGCCCCTCAACCCTCGGGCTCCGCTCCGCATGTGGCTTTCCCCACCAGCACCGCCCAATTGCGGGCCGTGGCAGTCGAGAAATCGTATCGCAAAAGCCAGGTTGAAATCCCCGTGTTGCGGGGCGTGGATATGGAAGTTCGCCACGGCGAGTTCCTGGCGATCGTGGGTCAAAGCGGCTCCGGCAAAAGCACCCTTCTGCATTTGCTGGGCACGCTCGACGAGCCCGACGCTGGCGAAATCCATTTTGGCGACCGGCGGATCGATCGACTTCCTGCCAGGCAGCGCGATGCGATTCGCAACCAGGACTTCGGAATGATCTTCCAGTTCTACCACCTGCTCCCCGAGCTGAGCACGCTGGAGAACGTGCTGGTTCCGGCGATGATCTCCTCCAGCGCGTGGCGATACTTCCTCCGTCGCAGCCATCATGTCGAAGAGGCGAAAAAGCTGCTGGAAGTGGTCGGCCTCTCCCACCGCCTGAAGCATCGTCCTCGCGAGCTTTCGGGGGGCGAAATGCAACGTACGGCCATCGCCCGGGCGTTAATCACCGGCCCCAAGGTGCTGTTGGCCGACGAGCCCACGGGCAACCTCGACCGCAAGACGGGCCAGGAAGTGATCCGCCTGTTGCGGAAGCTGAACGACGAGCAGGGCCTGACCATCGTGATGGTCACCCACGACGACGAAATCGCCCGCCAGGCCGATCGCACCGTGCAACTGGTCGAGGGGCGGATCGAAAGGCAGTAGGCCTCGCTCGCGGTCCAATTCGCCCCCCAGCAAATCCCCCACCTTATCAGGCAGGCAGCCAGCGTCGGTTGGTCCATTCGCCCTGCCGCTGGATGGTTGGAACCTAATACCGTAATCTGTGTCATTCCACGGGGGATGACTATTGCGGTGGTGGGGTCATCACACCATCCCCCACGTTCGAGGCGATTTTGGTGGGATGTCGATGAAGGTCTATATCAGCGGAAAGCTCTACGATAAAGAAGATGCCCGGATCAGCGTCTTCGACCACGGGCTACTCTACGGCGACGGCGTTTTCGAAGGCATGCGGAGCTACAGCGGCCGTGTCTTTCGTTTTGAAGAGCATCTAAGACGCTTGTGGGATTCGGCCCGGGCCATCTGGCTCGAGATTCCCATCAGCCGCGAAGTGATGGCTAAAGCGGTGATGGACACGCTGAAGGCCAACGAGATCGTCGACGGCTATGTGCGCCTCATCGTGACTCGTGGGGCCGGCACGTTGGGGCTCGACCCGAACCGCTGCAGCGACCCGCAGGTGATCATCATTGCCGATCACATCAGTCTCTATCCGGCCGAAACTTACGAGCATGGGCTGGAGATCGTCACGGCCAGCAGCATTCGCAACCATGCGGCGGCTCTCAGTCCTCGCATCAAGTCGCTGAATTACCTGAACAACATCATGGCCAAAATCGAAGGTCTGCAGGCCGGGTGTGTTGAAGCCCTGATGCTGAACACCAAAGGCGAAGTGGCCGAATGCACGGGGGACAACATCTTCCTGGTTCGCGATGGTGTTCTACTCACGCCGCCGTTGGACGCCGGAATTCTCGAAGGCGTGACTCGCGACGCGGTGATCGAGTTGGCTCGAGAGAACAAAATCGAAGTCCGCGAGATCGCGCTAACCCGACACGATGTTTACGTGGCCGACGAGTGCTTCTTAACCGGCACCGCGGCCGAAGTGATTCCGGTTGTCAAGATCGACAGCCGTCTCATCGGCGATGGAAAGCCGGGCCCCATTACCAAGTCGCTGATCGAGCAATTCCATAAGCTCACGCGGAAGTAGCAACGACCGCGTCGTCGCGACAGCCAAGCACCCGTGAAAGGCCCCTGCGATGTTCAACTCTCCCGTTCGCTGCGTTGATCGTAACCGATTCCAGACCCCAGCGCGTTTCACACTGCTCAGTCTGCTTTGCCTGAAGCTTGCTGTCACGGCGTTGTCAGGCATTGCGGGGGCCGACGATTGGCCGCAGTGGCGTGGACCCACTCGTGACGGTGTCTGGCGCGAGACGGGAATCATCGACTCGTTCGAGAGCGACCAGATTCCCATCGTATGGGAGGCCGAAATCTCCAGCGGCTACAGCGGGCCGACCGTGGCCGACGGTAGGGTCTACGTCACCGATCGTCTGATCGACCCCAAGCAGCAAGAACGAGTGCTGTGCTTCGATGCTCGCACGGGAGAACCGATCTGGTCGCACACGTACGACTGCCTCTACAGCGGCGTGGGCTACGAAGCCGGACCGCGGGCGTGTGTGACGATCGACGATGGTCGGGCCTACGCCATCGGGACCATGGGCAACATGTTCTGCTTCGATGCAGCCACCGGCGACATCTTGTGGCAGAAGGACATGAACGCCGAGTACAACATCGAGATGCCCATCTGGGGCATCGCCGCCGCACCGCTCATCGAAGGCGACCTGGTCATTCTGCAAATTGGCGGCGCCGACGGGGCGTGTATCGTTGCTCTCGATAAGAAGACTGGCGAAGAGCGATGGACGGCGCTTTCCGATCGGGCTTCGTACTCGGCCCCCATCACTATCGAACAAGGTGGCAAGCGCGTGGTCGTCTGCTGGACAGGCGACAACGTGGTGGGGCTGAATCCGAAGAACGGTGAGGTCTACTGGAGCCATCCCTTCAAACCCACGCGGATGGTCATCGGAATTGCCACGCCCGTGGTTGAAGATGAAGGCCTGTTAGTGACGTCGTTTTACGATGGATCGTTAATGCTGAGACTTGATCTCACAAAGCCGGAGGTAAGCGAAGTTTGGCGACGCCTGGGTCCCAGCGAGCAGAAGACCGACAGCCTGCACTCGATCATCAGCACCCCCTACCTCGAAGGCGACTACGTGTACGGAGTCGATAGCTACGGGGAACTGCGGTGCCTGGAAGCTGGTACCGGAGATCGTGTTTGGGAGGACCTGACCGCCGGGCCCAACGTTCGCTGGGGCACGATTCACATGGTGGAAAACGGCGATAACATCTGGATGTTCAACGAGTTGGGCGAGTTGGTCATTGCCCGACTTTCGCCGCAGGGGTTCGAAGAAATCAGTCGAGCCAAACTGATTGAACCAACCACCGTGCAGCTTCGCCGCCGTGGGGGCGAACAAGGTGTTTGCTGGGCACACCCCGCCTACGCGAATCGCCACGTGTTCGCGCGGAGCGACAACAAGCTGGTTTGCGCCAGCTTGGAAGCTAAGTGACGCATCGCCGCCAAGCTTGCGAGCATGAGGTGCTAGAGCGTCTGCGAGTGGCCTACACTTGTCCTCGTACTAAACTCTCGTAATCGACTCGCCAAGCGAAAAGGCAAGTCAGGTTGACCACTCCATTTTGGAAAGGATACAATCCCGCTTATGGGAGATGAGTCTGAACCGAAGTGTGGTGTTCTACTGTAACCTTGGTTCGGTCTGTGGTACTTATCCATATTCACATCATTCGTTAAGGCGTGCTGGGTTGCTCCTCTTGTAGCCGGCTGAAATCGTGTTTGCATGTGGGTCAAACAAACAGCCGCTGGGCTAGAAGTTTGGGCACCAGCGAAACTAAATCTTTTCTTAGAGATCTTAAGCAAACGCAGCGATGGGTTTCACGAGCTCGAGACGCTCATGGTTCCCATCGACTTGTTTGACACGTTGTACTTCGAGGAAACGTCAACTGGACGGGTTGAACTATCCGTTCAGGAAGCGTTGGGCCGGCGGAGCCAACAGGCACGTGGCGACGTCTTGCCGGAGGGAGCTGACAACCTTGTAGTGCGAGCGCTGCGGCTATTGCAAGAACGCACCGGCTGCGGTCGAGGGCTAAGTGTACGGCTGACAAAGCGGATTCCACTGGCGGCAGGTCTTGCCGGAGGATCAAGCGATGCGGCCGCCGCGCTGCTGGCGGCCAACCGTCTATGGCGGTTGGACCTCGATCGGGCAGAACTTTCTTGCGTGGCCGCAGAACTTGGCAGCGACATCCCGTTCTTTCTGTTTCGCGGCGCCGCGATTTGTCGTGGACGTGGCGAGAAGATCGAGCCGGTTGCTCTGCCGGGTGCTTTGCACTTCGTGGTGATTCGCCCTCCGAACGGACTCTCTACAGCCAAGGTGTTTGGCGCATGCCGACCCGCGGATAAAGCCCGAGAAGTCGGGCCAGTAGTCGAGGCATGGAGTCGAGGTCACATCGACTCGTTAGGTCGAAGGTTGCACAACCGATTGCAACCGATCGCGGCGGGTCTGTGTGAAGATATCGGACGATTGGAGGAGGAGTTTTCCAAACTGGACGTCTTGGGTCACCAAATGAGCGGTAGCGGCACCAGCTATTTTGGCTTGTGTCGCAATGCACGGCACGCGCGGCGGATCGCCGCACAGCTGAGTTCGCGAGAGGGGGTCGACGTCCACGTCGTTCAAGCCTGCTGCTGATTTGCTCGCACAAGGAGTACGATCGTGGAGATTACCGAAGTCCGAATCAAGCTCATGGAAGATTTGAGCGAACGTCTCCAAGCGTTTTGCTCCATTACTTTTGACGATGCATTTGTTGTTCGTGACTTAAAGATCATCGAAGGCTCCAACGGCCCCTTCGTGGCGATGCCCAGCCGTAAACTCACGGTTCGCTGCCCGAAATGCGGCTTCAAAAACCACCTCAGGGCAAGTTACTGCAACCAGTGCGGAACCAAGGTGCAGAACGAACACCTGGCCAAAGACACCGACGGCCGGGCCAAGCTGTACGCCGACATTGCCCACCCCATCAATTCTGAATGCCGGGAGATGGTGCAGAGCCGCATTATCGAGGCGTTCCAAGAAGAAGTCGAACGCTCGAAGCAGCCTGGCTATCAGTCGAGCTACGACGACCTGGACAACGACTACGAGTACGGCTACGCCGAGGAAGGTCACTCCTCGAACAGCACGCCGCGGCCGCACTTCCCGCAGTCAGGCCCCAAACCTCAGCAGGAAACGCCTGCCAAAGAGGAGTCAGACAAGCCGACAAACCCAGAGCAGAAGAAATCCAAGGTCGAATCGGCCGAACCCCCGAAAGGCCCGCACCAACAAACCTCACGCGAGGAAAAGTTGTCGCCCAAGAAATTGGAGAACGATGACAAACGCAGCGACGATCGTGGAGGATTCGGCGCGGGGATTCTAGATTGATCTCGTAGCGTACGTGCTCGCACGCACGAATTCCGCGGTGTCGCAGACTTGCTTCGCCGGAGAGCATTCGAAGACCCGGATTTCTCTAGCGTGAGGGGTGGCAGAATCTTCAGCCGCCGCCTTCGCTTGTGCGAGCACACTCGTTACATAGCAGGAAAATCGCCTACCCGAAGTAACTCACCGCGTTGCGGAACACGGCCAGGCCGTCGCCTTCTTGTGGGATATCTTCCCGGGTCCAGCGGGGATGTTGGGTGCGATCGATGAACCGCTCGGGATGGGGCATCAAGCCGCAGACCCGGCCTGTCTCATCACAAACACCCGCAACGTTACCTTGCGAGCCATTGGGGTTCGCCGGATAGGGAACCGTGCCCGTGGTTGTTTCAGCCTGCGTGGCGACTCCAGTCCCGCCACCCCCGGCTGCGGCTTCTCGTTGGGCGGCTGAAGCACTCGAGGCGAGTTGCTCTCCCGCAAGATTCTCGTATCGCAGGAACAACTGTCCCTGCTGGCTGAGCGTCTCGAAGGTGGCCTCATCCCGGGCTACGAATTTACCTTCGGCGTGGGCCACCGGCAGATAGAGCGATTCGACATCACGGAAAAAGACGCACTTATCGCCATCGACCGAAAGCCGCACCCAGCGGTCTTCGTATTTGCCAGAGTCGTTTAGCGTGAGGGTGGCCAGCGAGTTGGTAGCGTCCTCGTCGGTGAGGAACAAGCCCGACCGCATCAGCACCTGGAAGCCGTTGCATATGCCGAGAATGAGCTTGCCGGCATCGCGGAATTGGAACAGCAGATCTCTGAGGTGGTGGCGAATCTGGTTGCCGAGAATCCGCCCCGCCGCCAGGTCGTCACCGTAGCTGAACCCGCCGGGGATGCAGAGCACCTGGAACTCGTCGATCATGCCCCGCTCGGAAAGCAGGCGATTGATGTGGGCCACCTCGGCCGTGGCGCCCGCCTGTTCGAACGCGAACGCGGTTTCTTGATCGCAGTTGGTTCCAGGCGCCCGAACGACGAGGACTCGTGGTTTAGCCATCGTACTAATCCTTGAATTCAATTCCGGTATGGTTGGCCGGCACTACCAGCGTAGCGGTGCTTGCCATGCTTCTTTCAGTTCGGCCAGCGAACTTTCGACAACAATGTCGGCATCGCCCTCGGCGGCCGAGTCGACAATTCGCAGTTGCGGTTCTTCAATCACTTCGCCAATCTTCGCACAGGGCACTCCGGCCATCTGCCGTTCGAAGGCCTCGACCGACTCCGGAGGAACTTCGCAAACGAACCGTGTATTGCTTTCGCTGAACAGCAACACCGCGGTTCGCTGGACCGATGAGGCTTGTTCGGTGGCAATGTCATGCGGTACGCCATCGAGATCGACCTGAGCCCCGAACCCGCCGGCGAACGCCATTTCGGCCACGCTCACGGCCAGACCACCTTCGCTGAGGTCGTGACAGGCTCGCACCAGGCCACTTGAGATGGCCCCGTGCAGTGCGGCGAAAGTCTCCTTCGCCCGGGCACTGTCGACCTGCGGCACTTCCCCGCCGGAGCGAGAGGTAACCAATGCGAAATGCGACCCGCCGAGTTCATCGCGAGTGAGCCCGACTTGATACAGCAGGTTCCCGGGCCGTTTGAAGTCCATGGTCACCGCGGTGGCCACATCTTCGATCTGCCCCATCGCACTGATCAGCAACGTGGGTGGGATGGCAATCGTGTGGGACTTGCCGGCGTCGTCGACATAGCTGAACTCGTTGTTAAGGCTGTCCTTGCCGCTGATGAAGGGCGTGCCCAAGGCACAGGCCATCTCGTTGCAAGCAATGGCTGCCCGCACAAGCGAGCCGAGCGTTTCAGGCCGTTCGCAATCGCCCCAGCAGAAGTTATCGAGGATGGCGATCTGCGCGGGATCGGCCCCCACGGCGACGCAGTTACGAATTGCCTCGTCGATCGCACTGGCGGCCATGTGATAGGTGTCGAAGTCGCCGTAGTGCGGGTTCATGCCGCCGGAGATGACAATGCCCCGCCGCGACGAAAGCACCGGCCGCACCACCGCGGCATCGCTGGGTCCGTCGTTAGCCACCCCCACCAGCGGCTTCACCACGCTGCCACCTTGCACCTCGTGGTCGTATTGGCGGATGACCCATTCTTTGCTGCAGACGTTGAGCGAACCGAGAATCTGCAACAAGACGTCGGTGTGACTTTCAATCTCGTCATCTTCGACGGTCAGCGGGACCGTCGCCGGCGGTGTGTAAGTAGCCTCGCGAATCACAGGCGGACGTCCGTCGTGCAGCAGCTTCATATCGAGGTCAGCCACCACATTGCCTTCGTACTTCAGGCACAGCCGTCCGGTGGGTTCGAACCGCCCGATGACGGTGGCTTCCACCCCTTCGGCCGCGCACAGTGCTTGGAACTCGTCGCACTTCTCCGGCGGAACCGACAGGACCATGCGTTCTTGCGCTTCGGAGATCCAGATTTCGGTGTAGGAGAGGCCTTCGTACTTCAGCGGCGCCTTCTCGAGCCAGACTTCGGCCCCGATGTGTTCGCCCATTTCGCCGACCGCACTGGAGAGCCCTCCGGCCCCGCAATCGGTGATGGCGCTGTAAAGTCCCTGATCGCGAGCGGCGAGCACGACGTCGACTACCATCTTCTCGGTCACCGCGTTGCCGATTTGCACCGCGCCGCCGGAAAGCGTTTCGCTTTCGTGTGTGAGTTCGGCCGAACTGAATGTGGCCCCATGGATGCCGTCGCGGCCGGTACGTCCGCCCACCACCACGATACTGTCGCCGGGCTTGGCTTCTTTCCGTGACTTATCGCGAGGCAACAAGCCAACGTTGCCGCAGTAAACCAACGGGTTGCCCAGGTAGCGAGGATCGAAGTACAGGGCTCCATTCACCGTCGGAACACCAATTCGGTTGCCGTAATCGCGAACTCCGGAAACGACGCCCTTCATCACCCGCTTGGGATGCAGCACACCTTGCGGGAGCGATTGCACAGGCGTATCGGGCGGGGCGAAACAGAACACGTCGGTGTTGCAGATGGGCTTGGCACCCATGCCGGTGCCCAAAGGGTCGCGAATCACGCCGCCGATGCCGGTGTTGGCTCCCCCGTAGGGCTCCAGGGCTGAGGGGTGATTGTGCGTTTCGACTTTGAACACCACGTTGTGCTGGTCGTCGAAGCGAACGATGCCGGCGTTGTCTTCGAACACGCTCACGCACCAATCGTTTTCGCCGGCTGCTTTGCGAATTTGCTGCGTGGCGGCGAAGATCGTCTCTTTGAGCATGTTCTGGAATTGCCGCTCGCCCTCGGGCCCGACGTAGTGAATTCGGCCAGCGAGCGTCTTGTGGCTGCAGTGCTCGCTCCAGGTTTGGGCGATGGTTTCCAATTCCGCATCGGTCGGGTCGCGACCCAGCTCACGGTAGTAGTCGCGGATGGTCTCCATTTCGGCCGGCTGCAGATAAAGCTGCTGCTCGCGGCTCAGCTTCATCAACGCGGCGGTGTCCAACTCTCGAATCGCAACGTGCAGCGGCTCGAATTGGTAAGGCGAACCGATCTTAAGCTGGTCGAAGTCCAGCGGACCGACGATCACCTCGTCGATGGCTTCGTTGGCCAACACCTTGGTGCACAGAGCCCGCAGCTTGTCGCCCGGCAGATCGTCGAACCAGTATTTCCGCAGCGTGCGAACGGTTTGCGCTTGCAGGTTGAAATCCCCAATGGCGGCCACAGCACTTTGGGCCACGGGGTCCATCACGCCGGGCTTGGGCAACACGTGCACCAATACGCCGGCACCCTGAGGTGGTTCGGCCAGAGTGGTTTCGCCCACTTCGCCCAGCACGCCGCGTTCGACGACGGGGTCGACCAGCAACTCACGGGCGAGACGCTGAATGTCGGCACGGTCCAGGTTGCCTTCGATCAGGTATCCGCGAGCGGCCCAAACTTTCAGTCCTTCGGCCAGGGCCAGCTCTTGGGCTTCGGATATGATTTTCGAGGCGGCCGCATCGGGCTGGCCGTCGGCAGGGTAGATATCAACTTCCCACAACATCGCGTTTCCGTTTCGCGGTTGTAAGCATCCGTTTCAAGGCTCGCGTGTCGCGGCTCTCAATCGCCTTGCGGAATCGCGAAAGCGAGGTCTCGAGCCGCTCCAGTGCCTTGAGAACGGGTGCCTGATTGCTCATGAAAATTTGGGTCCACAATTCCGCATCGCCGGCGGCCACGCGCGTCGTGTCCTCGAAACCCGAGGATGCCAGCGACAAACTCTTCTCCGGGGTAGCAGCCGCCAGGGCCGAAGCCATAAGGTGCGGCAAATGGCTGATGTCGGCCACCGCCTGATCGTGCTTCGCCGGAGACATCGAAATCACATTCGCCCCCAGGGCTATCCAGAAGTCGGCCAGCTCCCGGCAATCGACCGCGGGGCTGCTCTTCGTCGGGGTGATGACCACCGTACGGCCTTCGAGCAAATCGACGCGAGCCTCTCCCGGACCGGCCCGTTCGCCTCCGGCCATGGGATGACTGCCGATGAATCGCACGTTCTTGGGCAGTTCGCCATCGAGTTGGGCGATGATCTCCGACTTGGTACTGCCCACGTCGGTGATTAAAGCTTCCCTCCGACAGGCTTTCGCCACCTGCTGGACATGCTCGACGATCCTTTCGACCGGGGTGCAGACCACCACCAGGTCGGCCTCGGCCACACCTCGTTCCAGATCGGTGGTGGTCGAAGAAACCGCCCCGACACGTCGGGCCACTCGCAATGAAGCGGGACTACGGCCAATTCCGACTACGGTGCGGGCCAGATTTCGCTGGCGCAGGGCCAACCCGATCGAACCGCCGATCAAGCCGACCCCCAATATGGCCACCGTATCCAGCTTCTTCATGTTCCCTAATCGGTTTCGTCGCAGTGCCGAGGTCGATGCCCAGCCGCCACGGGCAGCCGGGCTAAGCCGAGGATTGTACCAGATAGCCCCTTGGCTTAACGAGTAGGCAGTTGCTGGAGATGGGGATTGTGTGCCCAAGGCGGCAGTTATGCCTTCGACAGATGGACGAACCGGAAAGATTCTGCGGGCAAGGCGACTCGGTGCGACCAAACCGCACGCGTCCCCGACATCATTCTCGTAGCTGGGAAAACCTGCGTATAATCAAAACCGTATTCTCGCTTGGATCAGAGAGAGCCCGTCATGTTCCTTAGCCCCCGTGCGCGATTGAAGCCCTTGGCCGGCATGTGTCGGCGAATGGCCACTTCGTTGGAGGCCGGAATCGACATCCGAAAGGTTCTCGCGCGGGAATCCGACGCCCAAGCCCCGGCGGCCCAACAACGCGTGATGCGGCAGATTCGCGACGAGGTGAAGGTGGGGCATTCCCTGGGCGACTCGATCAACGAAACGGGCGAGTTCTTCCCCGAGCTGTTTCGTGAGTTGGTCACCGTCGGCGAAGAAACCGGACAACTGGCCGAAGTGTTCCGCCACCTGGCGAAGCATTACGAACGCCAGGTCGCGCTACGGCGGGATTTCCTGAAGTCGATTTCCTGGCCCATTACGCAACTGTTCGCCGCCATCTGCACCATTGGCCTGCTCATTTGGATCTTGGGTTGGATTGCCGACAGTCGCGGTGGTGAAGCCTTCGACGTGCTGGGCTGGGGGCTGATGGGCGAACGAGGGGCCATGATTTACTTCGGCATCGTCGGAATTGTGGTCGTCGCGGTCGGGGTACTGATCGAGGCCAGCCGGCGCGGGGCCCCCTGGGTAGCGCCCTTGGTGCGGTTCGCGTATCGCATTCCCGCACTCGGCGGGGCACTGACCACACTGGCCCTGGCACGCATGGCCTGGTCGATGAACCTCACGCTCGACACAGGCATGTCGCTGAAGAAGGCACTCCCGCTGGGATTTCGTGCCAGCGGCGATCCGTTTCACCTGGTGCATCTACGCCGGGTGGTGGCCGATGTTTCCCGCGGTACTGAGATTCACGAGGCCCTCTCCGACACGGGGGCCTTTCCGCACGACTTCCTCGATGCCGTTCGGGTGGGCGAGCAGAGTGGGAGATTGCCCGAGCAGATGACGCTGCTTTCCCGGCAGTACGAAGAACGCGCCGAAGCCGCCTTGGCCACGTTGACCCAAATCGCCGGCTTCGCCGTGTGGGCCATCGTGGCGGTGTTCATCATCATGCTCATCTTCCGCATCTTCAGCGCGTATGTCGGGGTGATCTACGACAACCTGCCGTAGAACATGCCAGCAATCGTCCGATTCGGCTGCGACCGGTTGAGGGCCCTCGAGGGGTTTGCCATAATTCCGGTTCTTCTCGGAACGAAACGCAATCGAACCTCAATGGTCCGCCACGGTGGGAGCTTCCTCATATGCCACGAATTGATCGCTTTTCTTGGGCTGCCGCGCTTTGCCTGTTCGCCTCTCTTGGCGGTGATGTTTGTATTGCTCAAGACGGCAACAAGCCTGAGGGGTCTGGTGACATCGTCGAGTTCGACGCGCAGGTGCGGCCCGAGGGGATTGTGGCATTCACCGAGGGCCCGGCATGGCACCCCAGCGGGAATGTCTATTTCACCGATATCTTCAACAACCGCGTCATGCGTCGCGATCCGCAAGAGGTGTTCCACATCGAACGCACTCCCTCGGGCCGAGCCAATGGGCTGCTGTTCGACCGTGAAGGCCGCCTGATGGCCTGCGAAGGTGCCGACGAGGGCGGCATGCGACGGGTGACCCGTATGGAACCAGACGGAACCCTGACCGTGCTGGCCGACGCCTACCAAGGCAAAAAGCTGAACTCGCCCAACGACTTGGCGATCGACAGCAAGAACCGCGTCTACTTCACCGATCCTCGCTACGGCGATCGCAGCGACATGCAGCAACTCGATGCGGAAGGGAAACCAGTCGAAGGTGTTTACCGCATCGATCCCGACGGGAAGATCGAACGGGTTATCGGCCACGAGGTGCAGCGCCCCAACGGCATCGCTGTCTCGGCCGACGACAAATGGCTTTTCGTAGTCGACAACAACAACGGTACCGTAGACGGCAACCGCAAGCTGTGGCGATTCAACCTGACCGAGCAGGGAACGATTGAACCCGATAGCAAAAAGCTGCTGCACGACTTCGGTCGCGGGCGCGGCGGCGATGGGATGGCGCTCGACGCCAAAGGCCGACTCTACGTTGCAGCCGGATTCAATGTGCCCAACTTGCCGCTGGAGACCACCGACAATCCCGCCGGCATTTACGTCTTCACCCCCGAGGGCGAACAAGTTGGGTTCATCCCCGTGTTGGAAGACATGGTGACCAACTGCACGTTCGGTGGACCCGACTTAAAGACGCTCTATATCACCGCCGGGCACAAGCTGTGGAGTGTGCCCGTTTCTACGCCCGGGCATTTAGCCTGGCCGCCGGCTGAGTAGAACCCAACCGGGCGAGCGGCACTTCTTCTCTGGTCCGCGCATAAAAAAAGGCTGACGGCTTTCCTAGGAAAACCGCAGCCTTAGATTCAAACCGTTACCGCTGGCGACGGTGGCGTCGCTGCGAGAAGAGCGGAGATCTGGCATTGCTAAGCACTGCCGTTTAGTGATCTCGGCCCACGCAAATGGTTAGGCCCTCCGACGGAATCACGGTTGACGGTTTGAGTCCTGCAAGACGTCGCCTTGCGGCATCTAACATCGGCAATTTTCCGCGACCACTTGCACCCGATTTCAGGAAGTTGTTGAACCTCGTCGAATCGGATGCTTGCGGTCGCGATGACTGCAACCCGATACTGTGAATTCTAGTTCGCAGAATCGCCCAAGGCACGTGTTCTGTTGCCAGGATTTTCCCCCAACCCCAAGGGATAGCACCCGGCCAGGCGAACATCGCCGATTGCAAAGATTTTTAGGGCCTTCGAAACAGGCTACAGCAAACAGTGTGCCGAGTGGCCTAGCTCCCGAGACACTTGCGGCCGCCAAGCCGAGCCGCTGAAATTCTCACAGTTCGCCCGTGAGACGCGCATTTCGCTTCGGCATTGACTATGCTGTGCATCGGTGGGGGAAGCGAATTCAATTTCGGCGAGAAGGTTACCGACATCCTTCCGCCTTCGAAAAAGATATTTCCCAAAAACATTCAAAGTGGCACGAGGTTTTCGAATGTCCAGGTTGTTGTCGCAAGTCGTTACGTGGGGATGGATCGTCGCGGTGAGTGTTGGCCTGGCCACAGCAGAAGATTGGCCCGCTTGGCGACACGATGCGGCCCGCAGCGGCATTTCGAGCGAGCAACTGCCTGAGCAGCTCAATTTGCAATGGGGCCTGAACCTGCCAGCCAACACCCCGGCGTGGCCGGAAGACGTGCGGATTCAATTCGACGCAGCTTACGAGCCGATCGTGGCCGACGGCACGATGTTCATCGCTTCGGCCGAAAACGACTCGCTACTGGCCGTCGATGCCGCCACCGGCGAACGTAAGTGGCAGTTCTTCGCCGACGCCCCCATTCGCTTGGCCCCGGTAGCCCATGAAGGACGGGTCTACTTCGGCTCGGATGATGGCTTCTTGTACTCGGTCGATGCAGCCTCTGGCCAACAGGTCTGGAAGCTCAACTTGGCCCCCGGCGATCGCCGCATCTTGGGCAACGACCGACTGATCTCGGTGTGGCCCGTGCGCGGCGGTCCGGTGATTGCCGACGGCAAGCTGTACTGCACCTGCGGTGTGTGGCCGTTTGAAGGAACATTCCTTTACACGGTCGACGTAGAGACCGGCGAGAAGCTCGATGCGAGCGAGACCGGTGAGCAACCGAATTACGTGGATACCACGCTGCCAACGATGTCCCCCCAAGGACACCTGGTCGTCAGCGACGGACGATTGTTCATCCCTTGCGGTCGAGCCATTCCGGCCTGTGTTGAATTGGACGGCGGACAGTTCGTCACCTTGCGGTACGACTCTCGTGGGCGGACCGACTATCACGTTACGGCCTATGGCCCCTGGGTTCTGCACGGTGACCGTTTCTACAACGTCGATTTGGGTTTGGTGGCCGACGAGAAGGGCCCCCGCCCTGTGGCTGAAGATGATGTGCTCTACACCACCGACGACGATGAAGTGGTGGCCTACGACCTGAGCGATCCGAAGGTGACCGAAGGCAAAGACCGCCGCGGCAACCCGACGAAGAGCCTGAAGGTGGCCGAAGCCTGGCGGCTGAAGCTGGGCGAAGTTTGCGAACTGCCAGAGTTTGCCGACATCATCGAACGCAGCCGCTGGCTGAACGAGCACCCGATCATGCTCAGCATCAAGTCGGGCTCCCGGCTGTATGGCTTCCAGCACGAAACGGTGTTTGCCGTCGAGCTGCCCCAAGGTGATGAGCCAGGAAAGCTGATCTGGAAAGCCAAGGTCAACGGAACCCCGGCCTCGATGCTGACGGCCGATGGACGACTGTATGTGGTCACCAAAGAAGGCTCGATCAACTGCTTCTCGGGTGAAGAAGGAAAAGGAACTCGCCAACTCCTGGCGCACAAGGTCATCGAAAGCAGTGATGACAAGTGGCAAGAAGCCGCAGGCAAGCTCATCGAAACCGCAGGAGCAAAGGAAGGTTTTGCCGTGGTGGTTGGGTCCGGCAGTGGTCGTCTGGTCGACGAGTTGATCGCTCAGACCGACCTGCGGGTGATCGTCGTTGAAGGCGACCAAGACAAGGCAGACGAACTCCGCCAGCGTTTGGTCGAGGCGGGTGTTTACGGACATCGCGTGGCGGTGCTCGCTTCCGGTCCGCTGAATTGCACGCTTCCGCCGTACCTGGCGAACCTGGTGGTGGGTGAAGAGTTGCCCGCGGCCGCGCACGAACATCCGGCGGAGTTCACCCAATGGGTGTACGGCATCCTGCGTCCCTACGGCGGTACGGCTTGCATGATGCTGGAAGACAACCAACACCAGCTGCTCGAAGGAGCCGTGAGCGAACTGAGCCTGGAGGGGGCCAAAGTCACTCGACACGACGGTGATCTTTCGACGCTCACCCGCGAGGGTGCGTTGGCCGGCTCAGATCCTTGGACCCACGAGTATGGCGATGCGGCTAACACGCTGATGTCGCAAGACCAAAGGGTCAAAGCCCCGCTGGGCCTGCTGTGGTTTGGTGGCCCTTCGTCCAGCGGTAGCCTGTATTACGATCGCCACGACTGGGGACCCAGCATGGTGGTGATCGAAGGGCGGATCTTCATCCAAGGCCCGGAGAAGCTTACGGCCGTCGATGTCTACACCGGTCGTGTGATCTGGCAACGCCCCGTGGAAAGTGGAGTCAGTCCCGGCCGGCGAGGGAACTTCGTCTCCACCGGCCATCACCTGTTGGGCACGCCCGACAGTTTGTACCTGGGCTATTCCGATCGCTGCTTGCGGCTCGACCCGGCCACCGGCGAAACGCTGAAGGAGCTTCGGCCGCAGAACAAAGACAGCCAGATGGGGCGAATTCGCGTGGAAGGCGACGTGATGGTCGCCGAGGAATTCCAAGATACGGAAGAAGATGGCGAGTTACCCGTTGCTCTGGTGGCGCTGGACCGCAAGACCGGTGAGCAAATGTGGCGCACGGCCGCCGGGTTCAGCTTCCCCTTTTTCGCCGTAGGGAAAGACAAGGTCTACTGCTTCGATGGCGTGATTGAAAAGCTGTACCAGGACTGGCGACGCAAGGGACTCATCCCCGAGGCCGCCGCTGAACGCTACGTGGTGGCCCTCAACTTGGCCACGGGTGAAGAGCTGTGGCGGCAACCCACCGAGATGATCGTCACCTGGCTTTCTTATTCACCTGACCTCGACGTGGTGGTCATCTCCAACAAGGCCGGCGTGGCAGCCCATCAAGGCAAGACCGGTGAACTGATGTGGAGCAAGGTCGAAGAGGGCCAAGGCTTCCGCGGCCATCCCGAGAGCGTGTGGGATAAGGTCATCGTCTACAACGACCGCATCATCGATCAGCGTGGACCCGGGAAGTCGTACTACCTGGAGACCGGCCTGCCGATCATGGCCACGAACCCCATCACCGGAGAACCGGTTGCCTGGGAGTTCACCAAGAGCGGTCACCATTGCAACTACGCCATCGCCAGCCCCCACCTGGTCACGTTCCGCGCAGCCGAGGCAGGCTTCTTCGATATGGTTGGCAACGGTACCTGCCGGCTCGATGGGTTCCGCTCCGGTTGTCGCAACAGCTTGCTGCCGGCCGACGGGGTGCTGAACGCCCCCAACTTCGCCCACGGTTGCATATGCGATTACTCGTTGTTCACGTCGCTGTCATTCGTGAATGTGCCGGAGGCCGATCTGTGGTCGTACAGCGCCTTAAAGGCGGGCGACGGCCCCATTCGTCGCGTGGGAATCAACCTCGCGGCACCCGGTGATCGTCGGGCCGACAACGGAACGCTATGGCTTGATTACCCCAGCGTCGGTGGCTCTTCGCCCGACCTGGATCTGGAATTCAAAGCCGACAAGCCCAAGCTACTGCGACGCCACGCCCGTCAAATGGCCGGCGAAGGGCTTCGCTGGGTGGCCGCCTCGGGGATCGAAGGGGCCGAGTCGCTGAGAATCCCGCTGAACCGACCGGCTGAAGCCCAACCGGTGAATTGCACCGTGCGACTATACTTCGCCGAACTGGCCGCCCATCAGCCGGGCGAACGCGTGTTCGACGTCTCCGTGCAAGGCCGCACGGTGCTGGAAGACTTCGACATCGCCGCCGAAACGGTTGAGCAATCGGGAGAAGAAGTCAGCTTTAGTGCTCCCCTGCCCGTGGTGATGAAAGTATTCCCGGCCGTCGAAGCCGTCGATGCCATTGTCGTCGACTTCGCCGCCAAAACCGGCCGACCACTGGTCTGTGGTGTTGAGGTGGTAACGGAGAAGTAAGTCTCCTCACCGCACCATGACAAAGGTATTGCACGACTAAGCCCAGGGCGCGCGACGCACCTTGGGCTTTGTTGTCATTCACCCTCGGTGTATTTGAGAACTACGACGCGGACTTGCCCCTACTCCCCAGTCCAGATCCCCGGATCGGCGTCGCTCGGCATTCGCCAGTCGCCGCGGGGGGAAAGGCTCACGGTTCCGACCTTCGGTCCGTCGGGCACACACGAGCGTTTGAACTGATTCTTGAAGAACCGGCTGCAGAAGGTGGCCAGCGTCTTTTCGATCAGCTCGGCGTGGTAGGTCGTGCTGAATTCGGCGAACTGACTGAGGAAGAGAATCTTCTCGCGGCTGAACCCGTTGCGGACGAAGTTGAACAGAAAGAAGTCGTGCAACTCGTAGGGGCCAAGCGTCTGCTCGGTCGACTGCACGATTTCGCCCTGCAACGAGGGTGGTAGTAACTCCGGCGAGATCGTCGTACCGGCGATGGCCAGCAGTGTGTTGCGTGCGTTGCCTTCGAACTCATGCTCTGCGGCATACTCAACAAGGAACCGCACCAGGGTTTTGGGGATCGAGCAGTTGGGGTTGTACATCGACATGTGGTCGCCGTTGTACGTGGACCAACCCAGGGCCGCCTCCGACATGTCGCCGGTGCCGACAACGAACCCCCGGCTCATCACCAGGAATGTACGAATGCGGGCCTGCACGTTCTCGAACACCAGGTCTTTGTGCTGTGCTTCCGGAACGCGCCCCAGGGCCTCCTGGAACTCGTCCACACTCATGCCCGTGCAGTCGATGCCGAAGGGGCGATGCTCCAGATCGCGAAACGCCTGCAGGCACAACTCGCGGATGTCGACGCTCTCGGCCGAAACCTGAAGGTGTTCCATCAGGTCGACCGCGTTGTTGCGCGTGCCCGAGGTGGTACCGAACCCTGGCATCGTCAGGCCGTGAATTCGGCGACGGGATATGTTCAGCCGGTCGCACATTTTGGCCGCCACCAGCAGGGCTAAGGTCGAATCGAGCCCGCCAGAGATGCCGATGTTCAGCGTGGCGTCTGAGGGCAACTGTTCCACCCGTTTTGCCAGGCCAGCGCACTGAATGCCAAAGATCTCGCTACATCGAGCATGCAGCACATCTTCGCGCTGCGGAACAAAGGGGCGCCCGGAGACCGTGCGCCGCAGCCCTTCCATTGTCGGGCGAAGGGCGAACTCAATATTGCGGTAAATCCGTGGGACATAGGGGGCACAATCGTCGAAGCTGGTCACGGTGCGGCGTTCGTTCTGCAGCCGTTCGATATCCACATCGACCATGTGCCACGAGCTTTCCCGAAGCAGCGGATGCGAGGTGCTGACGTGTTCCGATTCGGACAGCAGGCGGCCGTTTTCGGCCACCAGGCAATGCCCGCTAAAGACCAGATCGGTGGTCGACTCCGTGGGGCCCGCACTGGCGTAGGCGTAAGCCGCAATGCAGCGGCCCGACTGTCCCACGACCAGGTCGCGACGATATTCGGCCTTGCCAATCAGCGCGTTGCTGGCCGAAGGGTTCAGCAGCACGTTGGCCCCGGCCACCGATTGAAAGGAACTGGGCGGGATCGGCATCCACAGGTCTTCGCAAATCTCCACTCCGACGACCACCTTGCCGCAGGTGAATAGCAGATCGATCCCGAAGGGCACCCGTTGACCGGCGATCTCGATTTCGCCGGGCTCCTCGCCGGTGGCCGAGCTGAACCACCGGCCCTCGTAGTATTCCTGGTAGTTGGGGATGAACTGTTTGGGGACGATGCCCAGAATTCGGCCGTCGTCGATTACTACCGCCGTATTGAACAGGCTATTGCCGAACCGCAGCGGTACGCCAAGCACCACCAGTTGTTGCTGTCCGGCGGTCGCGTTCACCACGTCCACGGTGGCTTCCTCGGCAGCGTTCAGCAGTTCTTCGTTGCCGAACAGATCAGCACAGGTGTAGCCCGTGATGCTGAGTTCCGGCAGCAAAACAATGTCGGCCTCTTCCACATTGCCCAAAATGCGGATCGCCTCCGCGGCGTTGGCCCGGGGGTTGGCCACCGCGATTTTCTGCGAAACCGTGCAAAGTCGAACGAAGCCGTGTTTATTCATTGCGAACAGATTTAGCCCAGGGCTGCGGTTCTACGGGCGATTCTCCATCACCCTCATGAGTTATTGTACCTGCCTGGAGGATGACCAACAGCGACAGTCAACCAATGCGCGGGCGTACTTCTCTACAACACCCCGACTTGCGGCGAAATCTTCCCACGAAGACAATCACAGCCGCGGTGTCATCGTTCCCAATAAGCCTAACGGATAAGCCTGTCGTATCGATTGGGAAGTCTTGCTTCCCGTGCCTTGAACTCACGAACAACGATGCTGGTACTTCTCGACGAAGCGATTCAACTGGCTAACACCCTCACCGAGCGACAGCTTCGTGTGGTGCTGGCCGAAAGCTGCACGGCCGGGCTGGCTTCGGCCGCCCTGGCCCAAGTGCCGGGCATCTCCGAGTGGCACTGTGGTTCGGCAGTGACCTATCGCGAGGGAACCAAGGAGGCGTGGCTGGGAGTGTCGGCCGCCGACATCAAGCAGCAAACGGCCGTCAGCGATCCGGTCGCCCGACAGATGGCCGCCGGAGTGTTGCGGGAAACCCCAGAGGCCGACTTCGCGGCGTCGATCACCGGTCACTTAGGACCAAAGGCACCAGCCGGCTTCGACGGGCTCGCATTCATCGGGATCGCCCATCGTCAAGGAGAGTCGATCGATGTGCTGAGTGTCGCACGGGTTCAACTGCAATCGACCGATCGAGTCGAACGCCAGAATGAGGCCGCGGCCATGTTGTTGCACTTGCTTCGGGATGCAATCGAGAAACACGAGAGCTGAGTGCTCTGGCTGAAAGCGATTACTTCCCGCCCTCACCTTGGATTCGTTTCAACATCATCCGCTCGTACATCCCCGGGGCAAACCGCGAGATGAGGTACGACAGCTTGCCGGTGTTCGAGAGCACCACCAGTCGCGGTCGTCGCCGGGTAGCTTGGTAGATCGCCTCGGCCACATCGTCGGGCTCGAGAAGCTTACCGGTGGTCGAGCGTTCTTTGGCCAGTTGTTGCCCGCCGCCATCGAGGCCACGTTCGGCGAACCCGGTGGCCACGAAGCTGGGGCAAACGAGTGTCACGCCGACGCCATCGCCTTTGAGTTCGGCCCTCAGCGTTTCCAAAAAGCCATGCAGGGCATACTTGCTCGCGCAGTATCCGGTTCTGCCGTACAGCGGGGCGAAACCGGCGATGCTACTCAGGGCGAGGACTTGGCCGCGACTCTCGATGAGGTACGGCAAGGCGGCCTTGGTGAGGGCGACCACCCCGAAGAAGTTCACCTCCATCACGCGGCGATAGACTTCCAACTCGGTGTCTTGAAATGGGCTGATCTGCGTGAGGCCCGCGCTATGAATGAGAAGATCGATCCGACTGTGTTTCTCGATCACCTGCTCAATCACTCGGCGGCAGGCTGCTTCGTCGGTGATGTCGCATGGCGCCGCCGTGGCTTCGATACCGGCGGACACGAGCGCTTGGGCGGCTTGCTGCGCTAGCGTTTCATCGCGGTCAAGAATCGCCACAGCCATGCCGGCTTTTCCCAGGCGGGTGGCGGTTGCTTGCCCGATACCACCGGCCCCGCCGGCGATGACGGCAACTTGTTTAGCTGACTTGGCCATCACGCTTCACGCCGGTGCTCGATGTAGAACTGCAATGTCTCGCGGGAAGTTTTGCAGAGCTGATAGCCAAACTCCCGCTTCAGCTTCTCATTGGAAGGCACGGGTCGATACCGCAGGAAATTGACCTGCTCGGGTCCGTACTGCGTGGCTCCGAGCTTCTGCAGGAACCAGATCCCCCCCTTGAGCATCCACGCCGGCAGAGGGCGATACGGGATGCCAACCACGTCGGCCACCTCCTTAAGCGACAGGGCTCCATCGCCCACGAGGTTGTAGATCCCCTCGGCCTGCTCGTCGATGCCACGTTCAATGCAGCCCACCACGTCTTCGTCCCAGATGAAGGCCCACGGGGCGCAATACCCGCGCACGCCCAACATGGCTCGTTTGCGGAATAAGTCGGTGATTTGGTTGTTCGTGTTCTCACCCAACACCACGCCGGGCCGAAAGGTGAGCTGCTTCAGCTTGGGATGTTCGTGTCGATACTCGGCCAGGCGTTCTTCGATTTGACGCTTATTGTCGGAATAGGTGAACTCGGGGTTGCCCCGCAGTGGGGCATCTTCAGGAATCGGCACGGGGTTATCGGCATAGTAGCCGTAGGCCGCGCCACTGCTGGTCACAATGAGGTGCTCGACGCCTGCAGCCACACAGCACTTCAACACATTCTCGGTCCCCCGCACGTCGACGGAGTACTCGAAATCGCGATCGTGCTTCTTCCCCGGGGTCACGATCGAGGCCAAGTGCACGACGGTATCGATGTTGTGATGGGTAAGCCGCTCGACAAGCTGCGGATCGCGAACATCCAGAGTTTCGTACACCACGTTGGACGCATTGTGCGGGTGCGGGGCTTCGCGGACATCGGTGGCCACCACAAAGACCGACTCGGCGGGGCGGCGGAGCAAGCGGCCAATCAGTTGCGTACCGATGTACCCGCCACCTCCGGTGATCAGAATCCGGCGTGTTGTGGAAGCCTCGCTCATGCGACCGAACTCTCTCCTGCGGTAGCGGCCCCAGCAACCGCCGCCGGGTTACGCGACCAGTACAGGGCCAGGCTCAGCCCTGAGATGATATGCCAGATGCCCCACACGCCAGCCACGATGGCCATTCCGCCCAGCCCATCGAAGAAGCTGAAGATCAGCACCAGTCCCAGGGCGGAGTTTTGTATGCCCACTTCGATGGTGACCGCACGGCGATCCCGTTCGTCGAGCCCCATCAATCGACTTAGCGAATAGCCGGTCGCAAACGCCAGCAGATTGTGCGAGATCACGGCCACAGCGACCCATTCGATGTAGTTCGTGATTATCTCGAAGTTTTGCGAGAACAAGAACACGACGAACGACAGAAAGAAGATGATCGAGAAGTACTTCATCGGCGTATGCAGCCGGTCGGACAAGCGAGGGAAGAGGTGGGCGCAACTCATGCCCAGACCGAGTGGAATTCCCAGGATCAGCACGACCGTGAGCACCAACTGTAAGTGATCGATATCGATGGTGACCAGCAGCGGTGCGGTGTCGGGGTTCATGCTGGCCCAAAACGATACGTTGATCGGCGTCATGGCCATCGCCACGGCGGTCGAAATGGCCGTCATTGTGACAGAAAGGGCCGTATTCCCACCGGCCAGGTTGGTGAGGAAGTTCGACAGGTTTCCACCGGGACAGGCCGCGATGAGCAGCATCCCGAGGGCGATGCTCGGCCCGGGCCGCAGGAGCATGGTGAGCAGAAACGTGGCTGCGGGAAGAACCAAGAATTGTGCCGCAAGCCCGACCAGAGGGCCACGGGGGGAGCGTAGCAAGCGAGTGAAATCGCCGACACGCAGGTCGAGCGCGACACCGAACATGATCAGGGCGATGATCGCGTTGAGCAACCACAGTCGGTCGCTGTCGAAGTTGAGTGTGACCTCGTCTAGTGGCATGAAGCGGGCCGTCCCACGAGGTCGTAAGAACTCACGATTATTTTCCCTTGGGTTCCTGGTGCATGCGTTTGAACTCTAACAAGCTGGGGGCCCACATGTGTCGCACCGGTTCGACGTCGACATGCACCACCGCACACTTCCCCGAAGCGATCGAACGCTCCAAGGCCCGTTCGAGCTGATCGGTGTGGCTCACCCGTTCGCCATGGGCGCCCATGCTGGCAGCCAGTTCGTCGAAGCGGATCTCACTGAAGTCGGCGTTGATCGTCTCTTCCGGCTCCAGCGACTTCTTCCACAGGGTCTTCAGCGGTTTCAACGCGAACTGCTGATTCATTTTGACCATGCCCCACTGCCGATCGCAGCAAACAATATAAACCACAGCCAAGTTCAAGCGAACCGCGGTTTCAATCTCCTGCGGGTGGAAGCCCATCGCCCCGTCGCCAATCATGCAATACACCTGACGATTGGGGCGAGCAATTTTGGCGGCCAGCGTCTGAGCCACGCCGGCCCCAAGCATACCGAACTTGGGCGTGGAAAGCACGGTCGCGGGGGTGCGGATTTCGTGGTAGAAGTTCGCCCAAACGGCCGTGTTTCCACCGTCGATGATGAAGTAGGCATCGTCGTCGAACACGCGCTGACAGGTGGTTGCCACATGGGCCGCAGTGAGCGGAGCCCCGGGCGCGGCGAGCACCTTGTCGAGCTTCGCCCGTTCTTTCTTCATGGTGTCGCGATAACCGTCGACTTTTAGCCGGCGGGAGCGAAGCACATCTTCGGAGAGCGAGCCTTCGAGTTCTTCGGCCAACCGCGTGAGGAAGAGCTTCGCGTCGCCTGCGATCGCCAGGTTCACCGGCTTGTTCAAACCCAGAATGTCGTCGTCGATATCGACTTGAATGTGCTTTTGACTGCCCGGCGATTGCCAGTTGGGCGCCTTGCCCCACCAGTCGGTCTCACCAACGCGTGAGCCCACGGTGAGCACAACGTCGGCCTCGTTACGCACCTGGTTGTTCAGCCCGATGTAGACCATTGGCAGCGCCAGCGGATCGGTCTCGCTGATCACACCTCGGGCGGCCCAACTGGTGCAGACCATAGCGTGCAGCAGCTGAGCAACTCGGGCCAACTCTTTGGAGGCCTGCGCATGAATCACTCCGCTGCCGGCATGGATCAGCGGAAGTTTGGCGTCGCGCAACATGCGTGCCGCCGCTTTCACTTGCTCGGTATCGGGCACCAACTGTGTAGTGCGGCGATAACTCTCTGGCTGCGGAACCGCCGGGGCAACAATCTTCGAATTGATGATTGATTCGGGAACGTCGACGTGAACGACACCGGGCCGCCCTCGATGCGAGACTCGGAAGGCCCGTTTCAGCAACTCGACCATGCGATCGGCACTCGGCACAGCGCCGCTCCACTTGGTCATGGGCTTCGTCACGGCCACCTGGTTGAAGTATTGGTAAGTTCCGCCGCGGTCTGGATAGCCAATTCCCACCCGGCGTGTGCTGGTGATGAGCAGCACACGGTTGCCTTCACCATTCTCCACCGCCACTCCAGGCAGTGCGTTCGCCACACCGGGACCGTTGCTGGCCATGCATACGCCCAACTTGCCGGTGATGCGGGCGTAGGCAGCCGCCATATGAACGGCGCAGGTTTCGTGGCGGGGGCTGACCAGTTCGATACCGTGCTTCTTGAGCGTGGAATAGAAACCGAAGTAGGTCCCGTCGATGATGCCGAAGACGCGATCGACGCCTTCATTCTTGAGCATTCGGGAGATAACTTCGCCGCCTAAAATCTTTGCCACGATCGAGACCTGTCGAGAAGAGAGAAACGATAACGAGAAGCCGCGAGGGAGATTTCCCATCGCGGTGGACGATTCTCGCCCGAGGTGGTGAACATTTCCAGTGTACGCCGCCGGTGGGGACGAATGAATCGTGCTGCGCTACAGATTCGCGTCAGCAAGTCGCCGGCCTGTGTATCCAAAGCCCATTTGCGTCGGAGTAATCGTCCCACGCGTTCCGCACGGTTCTGATTGTGCCGGTGGTGACAGACATATGTGGTGAGGATGTGCGGATTCGGCTTGCGAAGTGCCAGGGGCCGGGTAGGGTTGCTTTGCTGCATCATGTTGCGTTTGGGAAACATGGCGAATCGATGCCATTTGTTCGGATAATCGCCGTCTGCTTCGTGGCCACCGTGCTGGTGGGACAGGGGGGCTGCGCGCGAATGGGGGCCAATACGCTGGGGACGATGATGGTCGCCCCGCCGAAGAAGGTCGACCCGACGATTGAATACACCAACGTGCAGATGGCCATGCGGCCCACACCGCTGGTCGATCGAAGGTACTGGGTCCCCGTGGGGCCCAACGACGCCAAGATGCTGGTCTCGATCGTTGAGCCGAAGCCCAAAGGTACCTGCCCCGTTGGGACGGTAATTGTGCTTCACGGTGCTTACGGACGCAGCGAGAGCATGATGGGGGCTGCCGTCGCACTCTCGAAGCAAGGATACCGGGCCGTACTGGTCGACCTGCGAGGTCACGGTTTCTCGAGCGACGCGAAGCTTACCTACGGCGTGCAAGAAGCGCGGGACCTATCGCTGGTTGTCGATTCGCTGGAGGCCAACCAGTTGATCGTCGGTCGTCTCGGCGTTTACGGATTCTCTTACGGGGCGGCCTCCGCAGTGCAGTTTGCAGCGTACGACCCTCGTGTCGATGCGGTGGTGGCTGTCGCCCCCTTTGCATCATTAAGACGCGCGGCCGCGTATCTGGCGCAGACGCGGATTCCCTGGGGTCGGAACTGGATGACACCGCAGCGGGTCGACGAGGCGTTGGCAGTCGCTTCCGAAGAAGCACAGTTCGATATCGATCAGGCCGACACCCGTAAGGCGATTCAGCGAACGCAGGCCCCCGTGCTGTTGGTGCACGGTACGGGCGATCGCGTGGTGCAGCATCAGAACAGTTTCGACCTGCACTTCTCCAGCGCCGGCAATAGCGAACTGCGGATCATCCCCGGCGCCACGCACAACGACCTGAACACCGACAAGAACGGGACCGTCGCCTCCCTGGCCAGCGAGTGGTTCGAGATGCATCTGACGGCAGAATCTTAGTCACGTTGGCGTGAACTAATGAAACGCCGTGTACTCTTTGCCGAGTAGCTTGGCGGCCACCTTGAGTTTGATGATCTCGTCGGTGCCTTCGTAGATGCGGCAAACCCGCACGTCTTGCAGGTGCCGGCCTACGCGATAGAGTTCCGACCATCCGCGGCCGCCGTAGATTTGCACCGCTCGATCGGCAGCGTCCCAGGCGGCATTCGAGGCAAAGTACTTGGCCTGGGCGACAAGGTAATCCGCTTCAGCAGCCAAATCCTGGTCCTCGCGATTGGCATCGCTGGCATCTTTGGCCAAGGCCGCCTTCTCGATCATCGCTTCGCTGGCGGCACGGCCAATTTCGATGTGCGCGATGTGGTCCTGCACCAACTGATGCTTAGCGATGGGCTTGCCGTGCTGTTCGCGGGTTTTCGAGTAGTTGAGAACCTCGGTCAGGCAATCTTCGATCACGCCCAGGCACCCGGCCGCCACGCTCAGGCGACCCGAGACCAATGTGCCCATGGCGATGCGGAACCCATTACCTTCCTCACCCAACATATTTTCCACCGGCACCGGATGGTTGGTCATTTCGAACATGCCGGTGTTGGCCGTGAACATGCCCATCTTCGAGGGCAGATCTTCCTGCTCCAACGTGTCGCCTGCGGTCTCGACGATGAACGCGCTGATGCGGCGCTTGGCACCTTCCGCGTTTTCGGGATAAGCGAAAGCCACCACCACGTCGGCCACACCACCGTTGGAGATGAGGTACTTCACGCCATTGAGCAGGTACCGGTCGCCATCGCGGCGGTAGGTGCTGGTCATTTCCAGCGGGTTCGATCCTGCATCGGGTTCGGTCAGCCCGAAGGCGAGCACGATTTCGCCGGCCGTCGACTTGGGCAGGTAGTGATCCAACTGGGCTTCGTTCCCATAGCGATAGATGGGGTACTGCCCTATGGATGTGTGACCCGAGAAGAAGGTCCTCACGCCGGTGCCTTCTTGGCCAATGCGGGCCAGGGCTCTAGCATACGTGAGCGAATCGACACCGCGTCCGCCGTATTTCACCGGCAGCGGAATGCCTAGCAGGTTGTGCTTCTTGGCCAGTTCCAGAATCTGATCGTTGTGCTGATGTTCGAGGTAACACAACTCTTCCGACGGGCGAAGCTCTTCGCAGTATGCGTTGACGTCGGCTAGCAGGGCTTCTTTGGAATCGGATTTCATGAAGTCGATGGGGGAGTAAAGCTACGCGCATCCCGCTGGAGCAACTCGCTTAGATGCGCTTCGACACAAGCGGCGAGTACTCTGGGATTATACCCTCCCTCGAGCAGACTCACGATGCGACCTTCCGCATATTCGTCGGCCACATCCAGCACCGAGGCGGTCAACTCCTCGAAGTCCTCGGTTTCCAGGCCCAACGAGCCGATGGGGTCTTGCAGATGGGCGTCGAACCCCGCACTGACCAGCACCAACTGCGGCCGCATCTTACGGGCCATCTGTTCGAGGCCCAGGCGAAACTGGTCGATGTATTCGGTTCGCGAGCAGCCGTATTCAACGGGGATATTCAGCGTGGTCCCCAGCCCATCGCCAGAACCAGTTTCGCTGGCGCTACCCGTTCCGGGGTAAAACGGCCAGCGATGGATCGAGTAGAACCCCACCTGAGGGTCTTCCCAGAAGATGTCTTGGGTACCGTTCCCATGGTGCACGTCCCAGTCGACGATGAGCACCCGTTCCAGGTCGAACTGCTCGATGGCACTGCGGGCGGCCACCGAAATGTTGTTCAGCAGGCAAAAGCCCATCGCCCCGGCGGCCAAAGCGTGATGCCCCGGCGGGCGGATCAGGCAGACGGCTCGACGATGTTCGCCGTGTAAAACCGAGCGGACCGCATCGCAGGCGGCTCCAGCTGCAAGCAAGGCAACGTCGAACGATTCCGACGACATCACTGTGTCGCTCTCGATCTGCCCCCCTCCGGCAGATGCATATTCGAACAACTGGCCCAGGTAGTCGGTTTCGTGCACCTGTGCTACCCGTTCTAGCGACGCTTGCTCCCAAGGCTTGCGGTGGCAGCGATCCAGGATTCCCGCGTCTTCTAAATGGCTGGGCATGTCGACGAGCCGCTCGGCACATTCGGGGTGATCGCCGGTGTCGTGAGCCAAGAAGCGTTCTGAAGCGTAGAGAATCGTCATCGCGTTAAACTGCCTGGGGCGCAGGAAAGGTGAAATGGGGGGAGGCTAAATCAGATAGATACGAAGATCTTCGCCGGCGAGAGCCACACTCTAGGGCTGGGGTATTCCAATTGTCAAACAGTTACCTTGATTCACGAACACGAAGACTCCTCGGTGTTAGGTCCCGTCGATCTCAGAGAGGGTGGCGATTCTAGCGGCGGCTTCACTAGAACTGACGCGAAAGCAGCGATGGCGGTCTGCGGGGCATCTGGGGGCGGCTTTGGCTTGACATGCCCCCAAATTCGCGGCTACTCTTGAGTATCGGGCCCTTTTCTTCGGAAGTCCTTTTCTTGTTGCGGTTTAGCTCGCCAGCGCAGAGCTTGGAACAGAACCGGGTCTAAGCTTTCGATCGAGAAGGCCAACGCAGACGTTTGAAGATTGCGTCTTAGGATTCAGTGCTACTCGGCTGCGTCTGCTGAGTTGATGGCCTAACGCATCAGCGAGTGGGAGGCATCGTAATATGATGACCGTCGGCAATGTCAGTCGTGATCTTGAGATGGTTCAATCTTCGCGGCACAGCTTCAACTTTTTGGCATCGTTTACGCTGGCAGTTTCACTAGTCTTGGTGTTCTTTTTCACGCTGCTCGATTCACCTGTAGTTGCACAAGAGGCTGCAGCAGAAGCAGCGCCTGCTGAGGCAGCAACAGCGCAGCCAAAGAAGCCAACCGAGCTACCTGGCCGGCCGCGCGGCAACATGATCAGCATGGCACAGAAGGGCCAGGTCAGCGATCAAAAGGCCTTCGAAGAATACTACGAAGCCGTCATCGCTCAATTCACTCAGCCCGATCAATTCCCGCAAGCATTCGACCACCGCAAGAACATTCGTCGCGATGCCAGGCTTTCGTACAGTCGCGCGAACAAACAGTTTCATACAACGCTGAATCAATTCTTGTTGTCGAAGCTGCGCCCGTTGGTGACCGACGCGCAATATCACCCAGCGGCGCGGTTCAACTGGATGCTGATCATTGCAGACCTGAATCAAGTCGAGATTGTGCCTGGCAGCAATGCCCCCGAGGTTCCGCTAGCCGAAGCGTTGCCACTGCTGGTCTCGGTTCAGGGCGATGAGGCCCAGTCCGATAGCGTTCGTCTGGCGGCATTGATCGGACTCGATCGCCATGCTGCCGCCGGTACCATCGGGGCCGATGCTCAGCAGACGTTAGTGCCGAACTTGCAAAAGATCATCAACCAGCGCACGCCACCCGCCGGCCGTGACGCCGAAGTACACGCCTGGTTCCAAGACCGGGCGAAGGCCATCCTCGAGAAACTGGGCGTAGAAGTCGCCGCACCGGCAGCCCCTGCTGCTGATGGCCCCGATGCACCAGACGGACCGGCAGCCGATGGGCCTGCTGTGGATGGTCCTGACGGACCCGATGGCCCCTAAGCGAGAGAACAACTTGCTCTGATTCCCACGGGACGGAACCCGTGAGTCGAGTGAGAACCTAGCCAGCCCCCGCGATGCAAATGGACTTGCAGACGCTACACAGCAGTTGGACACAGCTGAAAGTCGCACTGCCGACGAAGAGCACTCGCTGCCGTCGTGGTCGCTTGCCCGCATCCTGGGCTGCTGTTTCATGTACAATTGCCCTGCTGTCACTCGCTGGCTGCCGAGCTACTCCCCCGGCGGCAGAGCTTAGCCGGCTAGAGGCCCTCGTCGAAGAAACGGAAGCATCGATCGACGAGCAACCTGCGCCGGTTGTCGAGCCGCAGCGGCCGGAACCACCTTCGACGCAGCCACCAGCTGAGTCTCCGCCCGTTTCGGAGTGGAAGAAGGAACTTGCAAGCGATTCGTGGGTGCGTACCGTCAAACGAGACGGCATCGAACCACCCCGTCGCTGGCACCATACTGGGCTAGCCCAATTGCTGGCTTTGGATGATTCCCCAGAAGCAACACTCACGGCCGCCCTGAGTGCCGATGGGGCCTCAACGCGCACGAATGCCGCTATTGGTCTCGCGCTGCTGGGCAAACCCGCCGGGCTCGAGGCACTCGCCGCCGGAGTCGAAAATCGCGAGCTGCACCAGCGGCAGCGTCAGGCGGCAGCCGAAGCATTTGGAGGAATTGACGACCCGCAGACCACCGAGTTGGTGCTAGAGATCATCGGTCGTTTGGGGCAATTCGACCCGCAGCACCAAGCGGCCTATCATCCCGACTTGCATGCCGAGCTGTTGCGATCGCTGGCCGACTGGCACGACGAACGGGTGGTCGAAGTGTTTCGCCAAGCGTTGGCCGCCCCCAGTACTGAAGCTCGATTGGTAGCGATTGAAGCCTGGGCCGCCCACTCTGAACATACTCTCCCCGAGAGGGTCGTTTCGCTACGTGAAGATAACGATCCCATGACTCGCTCTGCAGCGTTGAAAGCCTTGGCGAATCATAACGTCGAGGGCGTTGAACGGTTCCTGGAAAGTGGTCTGCGGGATTTAGATCCCCGCGTTCAACTGGCCGCCATTGAGGCGCTAGGCGTCGTGGCGACCGATACGGCCCTCGACCGATTGCGTCAGGTGCTACGTGAAGAACAGCAGTTGTTTCAATCGGCCGCCATCGAAGCGTTGGCTCAGCATGGGGACATCGAATCCGTAACGCTTGCCGCGGAGAACGATTCATGGCGGGTTCGTCTACAAGCGGCTAAATCGCTTTCCAACTTCGCCACCCCCGAAGGCACACTAGTCGCCCGAAAGCTACTGAGCGATCGCAGCATCGAAGTGCAGCAACACCTGGTCGAGTCGCTCTCCCAATGGCCTCTAGAGATTGCCGGCGGGGTTCTGTTGGAGGCGATGGCGTCGGAAACCTACCGCACCAGAAAACTCGCCACACAAAAGCTCGCGGAACAATGGCCTGCGGCGGCCGGGTTTATGGTGGACGAGAACGAAGCTCGTAGGGCAGAGGCCTTAAGCCTCCTTCGCACCCAATGGTTCACCGACTTCGGCTTCTCTGTCAATCCTCCCGCGGTCGCTCAAGCTGAAAAGAACACTTCCACAGGGCCAGCGAAACACGACCAGCCCGTGACCGTGGAGCAACTGGAGCGTGTGGCCGCAGTTCTTGAAGCGCTGCACCAACCGCAGCTCTCCCCCGCCGAGCGGGATGGTCTACTAGGCCAACTAGTTCAACAGGGGCCAGCGTTGATTCCAGCGTTGGAACAGTTGAGTACCGAACATGGAATGCTGATTCCGGAGCCCGTCTTTTCGCGAGTGCTCCCCAGAGTAAGCCCCCTACACGAGGCTATCGAAGCACTCAAGCAGGAATCGACGGCTGAACGTCGCGTGGCCGCTACTCGACTTACCGAACTCAGCGACGGCCTGATCAACTCCGAACTCGCCGCCGAACGGCTCTTCGAACAGATCATCGTCCACAACGATCCCTTGGTGTGGCGAAGTGTGTTGATGTCGCTCGAGCAATCTTCGACCAACGCAACGACGCAAATCGTATGTGCCGCCGCCGGGCATCCTTCGGCCGAAATTCGCCGTCGGGCTTGCGAGCACCTCACGCGATTTCCATCTTCCGACCATCAGGCATTGCTGACGGCGGCCCTGAGCGACACCGACACGTCGGTCATCTTGGCTGCCACCGCCGCACTGGGGGCCAGCGGGCAAATGGACGACCTGGAACCGTTGCGATGGCAACTGCGTTCCGACAGCGATCAAATCCAACTCGCCACGGCCATTGCCCTGGTACAGCTTGATGATGCCGACGGAGTGTTGGCCCTGCAGCGACTGGGCACCGACGATGATCCCGGCGTCCGCATCCAGGTGGCTAGCTCGATTGGAAAACTGGGAGATCCGAAGCTTATTCCCTTGCTGATCGACATGCTCGACGATCGGGGAGCAGTGCAGCGAACCGCAATCGACTCGTTGGAACAGTTCGCCGGCGAAACAACGGCCCGGGAAATCGAGGAAGAAGGCGCTGGCTCGGAAACGCGGCTCGTGGCGGCCTGGAAGAGTTGGGCCCAACAGCCACGCACAGCCCGCCAGCCGGCCGACCCGGCTCAAGAGGCCGGCGCTCGGTAATCGTGCAGGTATTCGTCCAGGTCGACCTGCAGTGCGTTGTTGAAAATGTTGGTGGCCACCATCAGGCCCCCGAAGGCGGTGAGAGCCACAACCTCCTGCGGTGAGAAATAAGCTGCCAGCCGTGCATATAACTCGTCCGAGACGGCATTCGCATCGGTGACCAGCTGCCGACCGAACTCCACCACGGTTTGCTCGCGATCGTCGAGCTGTAAATTTGCTGGGTCTTCGCCCGCCTCGATCAGAATCCGCCGGAAGAACGTCGAGCAGATCAGGCAGTCGGTGGCCGTAGAAATGGCATGCACGTAGAGCGTCGTCAGCCGGTCGCCCAAGAATGGCTGGACCACGTCGCGAAGCGGATACCATCGCAGTAAGGCCTCCATCGCCACGGGCTCATGGGCCAAAGTCCGCTTCATGTTGGTCATCCGCCCCTGGGCCGCGACAATGCGATCGTACTCTGCCTGCATTTGCGGATCGGCGTCCGCCTGTTCTAACGGTTCGATTCGAGGCATATCAGCAACTCCCAGCGGGATATCAATCCAGGACGAGCAGTGAACCCGACGCTCGCGGTCGGGTCGTTTATCGTGACAGATCCCCGCTTCTTTTCAACGGGCGGCAGTGTGCCGAGCAAGTTTCTAGCCTAAGCATTGTCTTATAGATCCCTCGTGGAATAGCCATCCATGCCGCGAGAGGTTTACCATAGGGCAAATCGATCGTGAACAAGCGAAACACTTGGTCCTGGAGAGCCCCGTGATGAGTAACCCTGCTGAAGACTCGGTGGTGCTTACGCAGATCCACGACACCGAGGGAGGCCAGATCTTAGAAATCACGATCAATCGGCCTTCGGTGCACAACTGCGTCGATGGGGAAGCGGCCGAGTTGCTGCTGGCGGCCTGGACGCGGTTTCGTGACGACGACAACCTGACTGTGGCCATCCTACGCGGGGCCGGCGGTACATCTTTCTGCTCTGGAGCCGACCTGGCGGCCTTGGAAACCCTCACGCGGCTGCATCACCAGGTGGACCCCAAAGGCCCCAAAGCAAAGTTCGGCACCGGACCCATGGGCGGTTCGCGAATCGTCCAGGTGAAGCCGGTCATCACCTGCTCGCAGGGCTACACCTATGCAGGCGGACTCGAGTTGTTCTGCCACGGGCATATTCGCATCGCGGAACGGCCGGCGACATTCTCGGTGGCGTGCCGACGCTGGGGCGTTCCTCTGGTGGACGGAGGAACGGTCTACTTGCCAAGGCTACTGGGTTGGGGGCATGCGCTGCCGCTGATAATCACAGGGCAACGAATCAGTGCAGAGCGGGCTGCCGAGATCGGGTTGGTGTGGGAAGTTGTCGAGGCTGGCAAGGGCTATGCACGCGCGATGGATGTGGCCCGGCAGATTTGCGATCAGCCGCGCGACGCGATGCTAGCCGACCTGAACTCCGCAGTCCGCGGCTGGCATCTTGGGCTTGAAGAAGCACTCGAATTGGAAGCGGAAAGTTTCGAACCGGTAGTGTCCAGCGACAGCATGAAGCAAGGTGTGAAGCGATTTTTGAGCGGCGCACGCAATTGGTTCAAATAGAAGCATGAGTAATCACTTCATTGCGATAGCTGAAAAACCCATTTCTTGTGTCACCTCAGCGGGTACTTTTGTGCACATTCGACGTGCATGGTGAAATAAAAGCGTGCCGATCCGCCCGACGGCGAATCGATGCGAAACCACGTCTCGATGGCCTGTGACAATTCGCCGCAGGGAAATTCGTATCCAAACCCGCTTTCTTAAAACGGCACTTTGCCGTATCGACGGAAGAGGCTACTCTTTGGGTAGCTGCCATGTCACCCTGGGCCTTTCTGGCCTCTACAGCTAAATGTTCTGCCCGCGCAGAACGGGAGTCGAAACGGAATGATGGCTACGTCTTTTGATCTCTCTGCTCAAGAAATCTGCACAAAACGCATCCACCGCAATACTTCCACGGCGGTGTTGTACGAAGCGGCAATCGGCAGTCACGACGGTCGCATCACCTCTACCGGAGCCTTGCTCACCACCTCGGGCGAGAAGACAGGACGTAGCCCCAAAGACAAACGAGTCGTGGCCCATCCCGACAGCGAGGGTGACATTTGGTGGGGCCCCGTCAACATCAAGATGGAAGAGGAAAGCTTTCTGTCGAATCGCCAACGAGCGATCGATTACCTCAACTCGCTCGAAGAGGTTTTCATCGTCGATGGCTTCGCAGGCTGGGACCCCGAGTCGCAGCTCAAAGTCCGCGTGATCTGCGCCCGTCCCTATCACGCCTTGTTCATGCACAACATGCTCATTCGCCCCACCGAGGAGCAGTTGGCCGATTTCGGCGAGCCCGACTATGTGATTTACAACGCCGGCGGTTTTCCGGCCGACCCCCACACCCCGGGAGTCAACTCGGAAACTTCCGTTAATCTCAGCTTCGAGCACCGCGAATTCGTGATTCTGGGAACTCAGTATGCAGGTGAAATGAAGAAGGGCATCTTCACGATCATGCATTACCTGATGCCGAAGAACGACATCTTTTCGATGCACTGCTCGGCGAACGAAGGTGACGACGGTGATGTGAGTCTGTTCTTCGGACTCTCGGGCACCGGCAAGACCACCCTCTCGGCCGACCCGGAGCGGGCCTTAATCGGGGATGACGAGCACTGCTGGGGAGACAACGGAGTCTTCAACATCGAGGGCGGCTGCTACGCCAAGTGCATCGATCTTTCGTACGAGAAAGAACCGATAATCTTCAACGCTGTCCGCTACGGGTCGGTGTTGGAGAATTGCGTTCTCAATGAAGAAAGTCGCGTCGTCGATTACACCGATGCCTCGCTGACCGAAAACACCCGGGCATCGTACCCGATCGAGTTCGTGCCCAATGCCAAGATCCCCTGCGTCGGCGGGCACCCGAAGAACATCATTCTACTCACCTGCGATGCGTTCGGCGTATTGCCTCCGGTTTCGAAGTTGACGCCCGAACAGGCGATGTATCACTTCATCAGCGGGTACACCGCCAAGGTGGCCGGCACGGAAGTGGGCGTAACCGAGCCGGAAGCCACATTCTCGGCCTGCTTCGGAGCCGCGTTTTTGGTGTGGCACCCGACGAAGTATGCCGAAATGCTGGCCGAAAAGATGCGTCGCCACAACGCGACCGCATGGCTGGTCAACACCGGCTGGTCGGGCGGTGCCTATGGAGTGGGTTCGCGGCTCAGCCTGAAGTACACGCGGGCAATCATTCACGCCATCCACTCGGGCGAACTCGCGGAAGCCGACACCACGGAAGACCCCTTGTTCGGTCTGCACATCCCCACGCACTGTGAAGGTGTGCCGGCCGAGGTACTAGTGCCGAAGAACACGTGGGAAGACCAGGAAGCGTTCGTCGAAACAGCCAACAAGCTGGCCCGCCTGTTCCGCGAGAACTTCAGCGAATACGCCGACGAGGCTAGCGAAGCGATTCTGCAGGCCGGCCCAAAAGAAGCCGCCCCGGCGTAGGCAGCTTGGCAAGATTCACATCTAGCATTCCACCCCAGCCACATTTGTGGGGTAACCTTCAGAGGTGCGCAGTCGCCGTCTAGTTCGTGGCTGCTCTTGATTGAAAGTGTCGACCTAAATCTCGGTCCAACCGTCTGCTAGCCTTTAGAAGGATACCTTCCATGATTGTGGTGAATACTGAAACCGTACCGGGGATGAACATCACCAAGGTGTTGGGGCTAGTTCAGGGGAACACCGTGCGGGCAAAGAACGCGGGCCGTGACTTTGCCGCCGGTCTCAAGAGCATTGTGGGTGGCGAACTCAAGGGATACACCGAGCTGCTGACCGAATCTCGCAGCCAAGCTCTAGAACGCATGGAAAGCGAAGCCGAGCGTTTGGGAGCGAATGCCGTGGTCAATGTGCGGTTCACCACCAGCACAATCACCCAGGACGCTGCCGAACTCTACGTTTACGGCACGGCGGTAGTCTGCGAGTAGGCATAATAGCAACGTCAGTTAGATATGCTCTTTCCGCCGCTCGACGATGTACTCGGCCTTCACGCCGGTGCGTTCGAACAGCCGGCGTTCGAGTTCGCTCTCGTCTGCGACGAAGTTCACGACGTCGGGCGTGACTTCGGTCATGGCTTTAATGCGGCGATGGAGCTGCTCGTCGATTTGATGTTGGTCTTGCCCCGGCTCGGCACTGACCTCAATACGCAGCATGTCGCGTGAGAACTCGGCCGTGTGATCTTCGTTGTCGAGCGTAATCTGAAATGTGCGTACGCCTGGGGTGTCTCGCACCGTTTCTACCAGCAGCGATAAATCGACCCGGGCCCCTTTGAGCTTGGTGAAGTCCTTCACCGCACGGCAGATCGGCGGGAAGATGCGTGGGAAAGTCCAACCACAATGCTCACAGCGGGTCCAGCGATAGCCGCCCTTCACCAGGTCGCCCGTCCAATAACGGATGATCGCCGTACCGCGCCAGCCGATGTGGCTGAACACTAAGACGCCCGGCTCTCCTTCGGCCACAGGTTCGCGAGTCTCAGGATGCAGCAACTCCCAGTAGTGATGCAACGGGTTGAGATGAATGCCCGAGCCCTCGCTGCATTCCAAAAAGGCCCACTTCATCTCGGTCATGCCGAGCGTGGATAGCACGCGGAATTTGGGATGCGCCCCCAATTCAACTGCCATCGAGCGAATATGTTCGCGGAGCGTTTCGCTAAGTGGTTCGGCCCCCAGCAGCACGTGCCGGAAATGCTTGAGTGGCCCGATCACGTCCTCCTGCTGTAGTGCCTTCGCCCGCCGCAGCCAATGCACCATGTAGGAAGGGATGGAGGTGATCGAACAGAACTCGCCCTTCTCGAACAACGTGATTTGCCGATCGGTCGGAATCACCGAGCCGCCGAAGGTGTCGAACGTGGAGACGCCGATGGCCGATTTCGCCAGCACGGGGGCGAAGAACGCCAGGTGCGGGGCGCCGGGGAAGATGTTCATCGACCGATCGCCCAGATCGTAGTAGGGCTCCTCCGGATCGCGAACTTTCGGCAACACCAACGTCGAGGCCAGCTCCTTGATGTTGTGGCTCAAGTCGTAGTGCGTGTAGACCGCGGGAGTTGGCTCGCCGGTCGACCCCGTCGAGGCATGGAAGTGGACGGGCCACCACTCCATTAAAGCCCGACGACGGATCTTCTCTTTGAACGTCGGCTGCCGGACCAGGTTCGTGTAGTCGCGAGGAATATTGAAGGCCGCTTGGGCGGCATACTTCAACAACTTACTACGCGCGATGGGGGCCGTATCGATCCCAGGGGGCGGATCGACCCCAGGGAACTTGGGCTGCAGGATGAATGCCCGAGGGTCACTCCTCAGATCGTCTTTGTCGATAATCGGCAACCGGCGAATGTCTTCCAGCGACTTGATCTGGCTGACATCGATCCCCTTCTCGCGATAGAGCTTTCGCAAGTAAGGATGGTACGGCTCGATGTAGTTTCGAAGGTACTTCGTTAATCGGCGAAACGATACCTGCCGTTGATGCTGAGGTTCGAGGTCGTAGAAGTTCACGATTCGGTCCGTCGATTACTGTCCGTGGTTGCCAACTGCGGGGGAAGCCTACTGGTTGAAAACCGCTTCCAGAGGGCTGTGGTCGTTACTGCTGATGGCCGCGCCCAGGTGATCGTTCTGCGTGAGCAAGTTACTAACGAAAAACTCGGCGGTCTTGATCTTATTGAAGTAGAACCGCGCATCATCGTTGTCTTGGTGCAGAGCAGCCTTCGCCTCGTCGTCGCTTGCCCCGGCGGTTTCGTAAACCTTGGCCAGCGCCTCGTCGGCCAACACAGCCTGTTCGAGCAGTTGCCAGCCGATAATGACGTTGCCCAGCATCCGCAAGTAGGGCGTGGCCGAAAGCAACGGGTAATCGAGATCACCCGACATCTGCATGCCGGCGAAGCTCATTGTGATTTCGGCAAGTTGGTCCTTGTGATGGGTCATACGCTTGAACGAAGCAGCCAACCGTGGATGCTCGGCATGCTTGTCGAGCACTTCGGTCAAGTCCATCATCAGTTCCATGAACGACGCCCCACCCTTGCGACCGATCTTGCGGCCGATGAGGTCGATGGCCTGAATGCCGTTGGTGCCTTCGTAAATCGAGCCGATCTTGCTGTCGCGAACCAGTTGCTCGATGGGATAGTCCTTCAAGTAGCCGTGCCCCCCCAAAACCTGTAGGGCCGTGGTCGAAACTTCGTAGCCAATGTCGCTGCAGTACGCCTTGCAGACGGGCGTAAGCAGCTCAGCCCGACCGAGCATCTTCTCGCGAACGGCTTCGTCGGGGCTGTGCTCGGCCAGGTCGACACACAACGCAGCGTGAACCAGCATCGCGCGGCAACCTTCGACGTAGGCCTTCATCGTAAGCAGCATCCGCCGCACATCGGGGTGCTCGGTGATCAGCACCTGCGGGGCGGTGGGATCGCGGAAATTCTTCATGTCCACGCCCTGGACGCGACCCCGGGCGTATTGCAGTGCGGCCTGATAGGCGACCGACGCCATGCCCACACCTTGCAGGCCGACCCCAATTCGGGCCGAGTTCATCATGTGGAACATGTACTCGATACCGCGATGCTCTTCGCCGATGAGGTAGCCTTCGCATTGATCGTTGTCGCCAAAGCTCATGGCACACGTGGGCGAACCATGCAGACCCATCTTTTCTTCAATGCTCACACACGTCACATCATTCGGCACGGTGGCCTTGCCCGAGTCGTCGTAGCGAAGCTTGGGCACCAGGAACAGGCTCACGCCCTTGATTCCTAGAGGAGCGTTCTCGCAACGAGCCAGCACAAGGTGGATGACATTCTCGGTCATGTCGTGCTCGCCGCCGGAGATGAAGATCTTTTGGCCGCGAATGAAATACTTGCCGTCGCGTTTCACCGCCGAAGTGTTCAAGGCCCCCACGGCCGATCCGGCGTGCGGCTCGGTAAGGCACATCGTGCCCTGCCAGGTGCCTTCGACCAGTTGCGACAGATAGCGCTCCTTCATCTCGTCGGAGCCGTATTCGATGAGCAATGCCGAGGCGGCACGCGTGAGCCCAGCGAGCATCACCAGCGAGCAGTTGGCACCGACGAACAGTTCGCCCAACACCGCACCAACGGGAAGCGGCAACCCCAGACCGCCGTATTGCGTGGGGGTGGCCATCTTCATCCAACCGTCTTCGTACATCTGACGGTAAACCTTGTGAAACACCGAGGGCACGGTCACGTTTCCGTCTTTCCAGGTGCAGCCTTCGGTGTCACCAGGGCGATTGGTGGGGGCCAGCACGTTTTGTGCAAAGCGGCGCGCCTCGGTCAGCATCATCTCAATGTCGCTGACTTCGAAATCGGAGAACCGAGGCAGTTCGAACAGTTGCTGGACCTTCTGATGGTCGAACAGCAAGAACTGCGAATCGCGCACATCCAACACAATCTCTTCTGACATGGAACCCAACCCTGAATACGACGGAGCACGATAGGAAACAACGAAAAAGGACCACCTTCTCGCGGTAGCCCCACAGATACGGCCTTTCACCGCATGGCCCCAGATGAACCGGTTTTAATCCACCCTGGAAGATGCCACAAGGGCTTGGCCAGGGCGCACGAAAACGGGACAAAAATCCGGGCAATAACTCGATTTTGCTCGGCAATTGCTTGCATTCGAGACGGTCCGTCCATCGCAAGCTGACACACACTTAGCCGGAGCCTACACTTGGGCTTTCGGGGTGGTTTAGAGATCCTTCTGTCGCGTAGGTGGAACTGTATGTCAGCCGCACTTAGAAAGTCGCTGAACGTTACTCTGGGTAGCCTTACACTCGCGGTAGGTTTTACGGCCCTGGTAATAGGGGCCCCACCGGAGACGGATGTTAAGCCGGTTGAACTCCAGGTGGGCGAGCATTGGCATATCGAACACCCCACCCATCACGTGCAGGGGCTGTGCGTCGACGATAACTACTTCTGGATCTCGAGCGTCGAACGGGCCACGAAGCTAGGCTGGATCTACAAAGTCGACCGCCAGACATTGAAAGTGCTGGCAAAAGCCGAGTTGGTCGACGGCGATCGCTTTCACCCCGGCGGGATGCAGTTGGTCGACGGAACGATTTGGGTCCCCTTGGCCGAGTATCGCCCCCGCTCGTCGAGTATCATCCTCGCACTGGATGCCAACACGCTAGAAGAAGTTTCACGCTTCCCGGCCGACGATCATCTCGGCGGGGTGGCGGTTGACGGAGAAGGGAACGTTTACGCCGCTAACTGGGATACGCGGCAGATCTATGTCTTCGACCGCGATGGGAAACAACTCCGCGCGGTCGATAGCACAACCGGGGTGGCCTACCAGGACTTCGAACATCACAACGGACTGCTGTGGGGCACAGGCCGCACTAAGGTAGACGGCAAAATGTGCAGCGTGGTGGATGTGCTGGACCCCAGCGAAATGCAGCTCAAGCATCGCATCATCCTGCGCGGGAAAACCGCAACCGTGGGAGACTACTTCGCCCGCGAGGGGCTTTCCATCCACGACGGTAGCCTGTTCCTCATGCCAGAAGACAGGCCCGAGACGCGGGTGTATCAGTTCTCGCTAAAAGACACGCCGCTTGAGAAGCTGTTGCAGGAGGAGCGGGCCGCTAACGATGGGGACGGCACGTAATTTTTGGCGTGTGCAAGGGTGAAGTGCTTCTCAAGCTTCACGACATGGCATTATCTTTTGCTGTCAATGAACTTGTGATCTTCCTCTCCCAGCTTCTCCAGGGGTACCTTTACGCGAACTCCATTTTTCTTTTCAATCTCGACCACTCCTACCGTAAAACTAACGAATCTGGCCTCAACTGAGAATTGACCGTCTGCAGTAGCCCAGGTTCGGAACTCGTTCAACCCGCTTTTTGCAGTCTCCAACTTGTCGATCTCAATCCCTGCTCGCCGCAAGTCCTCCTGAAACTGTTTAGGTTCATATACCTTTGGCTGCCCATGGAAGATTACCCTCGAGACTGTAATTGCGTCCGGCACAAGATCGCCAGCTGCGAAACCTAGGTAGTGTCTCGCATTCGATTCTTCGGTTCTTCGGATCTTCTCCCTTAGATCATCGAGACGCTGGTTGAAATCGCGGATGAATACTCCCCAGTCCTCGTTCGTAAACTCTTTCTTGCTAGCCTTCTCAAGCTCACGCCCCATGTTCCTAACCTCAGAGTAGAGTCTCCTACACTCTCCTATATGCTTCGCCAAGTCTTCAGACTTCTCCCCTGAGTCGCCAACGGAATCTAGAGTGAATGACCGAACTACACCCACTGTTATTCCCGTGCTATCTTGCGTGACGAGCGGACCTTTCAACAACTCTCCTTCGCCACCGATGACAGACTGGATATCCACCGACTGGAACTCAGGCTTTACTAGTGAGACCTCTGCGACAAGATCGCCTTGAAGCGGCGATCCCTTGTCTGAAAAAGGCCCCGCTTCGAATGAACCATTGGGTTGAACTAGACTGTCATCCTGTGCAAAGTAGTCGCGCCATCCCGTTTCGGGAGACGAAACACTCACGCTGAGCCGAGTTCCAGGTGGAAGATTGGTAGTGCCTAAGATTAACGGCGTTCCAGAGTTCTGATGTACTTCCACCAGCAGCTCGAGTTGTATCTCCGGCCGAAACTTGGGGCCAGTCAATTCCTCACCCTCGAATGCGTTAGGGGCGGAAGTCCCAATCGACTCCGTCGGTTCATATGTACAACCGGGAAGTAAGAGAATGAGAAGTTTTGAGAATATTCTCATTTTTTAGCCCCAATACACAGACAGATGATTCCGACTGCCAAGCACCTCGCTTGAATCACTTATTCGCTCTGATGTTAAATCAGCAGTTCTCGAATCGGTTGCCCCGGACAAATAACCAGCGGTCGCCCTTGCTTGTCGGGCAAGGTCAGCTCGGGATCGACCCCCATGGCGTGATAGGCGGTGGCCACCAGATCGACCGGACGCACCGCATCAGAAGCCGGGTACGCGGCGTGTCGATCGGAAGAGCCGTAGACCATGCCGCCGCGAACTCCGCCGCCGGCGAGTACCGAAGTGAAACAGCCAGGCCAGTGATCCCGTCCGTCGGCCCCCGCTCCCGCGTCGCTGTTGCGTTGCCCGATACGCGGCGTACGGCCAAACTCCCCGGTCCACACCACGAGGGTCTCATCGAGCAGTCCGCGTTCGCTTAGATCATCCAGCAGTGCCGAGAACGCTTGGTCGGCCACCGGCATCAGCCGTTCACGTAAGTCGATGAAGTTGCGGCTGTGGGTGTCCCAGTACACGCTCACATTCTTGATGCCATCGTTAGGCCAGAACACGGTTACCAGCGGAACACCATGTTCGACCAGGCGACGAGCCTGCAAGACCGATTGTCCGTGGGGGTTGCGGCCGTACCGATCGCGGAGTGCCTCGGATTCCTGCGTAAGATCGAACGCACCCTTGCCTGCGGCCGAGTCGAGCAGATCGAAAGCCCGACGATAGTGATCACCCATTGCTCCGGGAGACCCCGCCGCGAAGTTGCGGCGCTGGCGATCGACTTCACGCAGCAGCGCCTCGCGATCGCTCAACCGGCTGGTGGAAATTTCCGGTTGCAAGGCGAAATCGCCGACATGGTATTCCGATTGACTGGGGTCCGAGTCGATTGTCAGGGGATCGAAAGTGGGGCCTAGCCAGCCGGCTGTCTGACCATGGCTCTGCTCGACGAACCGTGGCACGTCGTTGGGCAACTTGGGTCGCATTTGTACAAACGGCGGAAGCGGTTCCCGTCCACGACCCAGCCGAGCCAACACGCCGCCCATGTGGGGCCAGTCGCGGCGCAGTTCCGCACCCTGGGCCGGAGGTTGCCCGGTGAGCAGGTACGAGGTGGCCGTCGTGTGATTCACATCGCCGTGGGTGAGCGAACGGACGATGGCCAACTTGTCGGTCCGCTGCGCAAGCTGCGGGAAGTGCTCGCAGATTTGGATCCCAGGCACTTTCGTGGCGATGGGTTTGAACTCGCCGCGCACTTCGGCCGGAGCGTCGGGCTTCAAATCCCACGTGTCTTGATGTGCTGGCCCGCCCCACATGAACAACAAGATGCAGGCTTTGGCTCGGCCGAATGAAGCCCCGGCCGATTGCAACGCCGCGTCGGCAAACGCCTGTTGCCCGGCGAGCAGCGTGGGCAACTGCAAACCGAACAACCCCAAGGTGCCGGCACGCAGCACCTCCCGGCGGTCGACCGGTTTCGTAAGCGGCGAGTTGTGCGTGTGCCTGCGGCTCATCATTCACGCGATCTGTTACTTCTCGCTGGAAAGCACCACTTCCGATTCGGTGTTTGCCTCGATCTCGGCCGGCAGGAACCAGGCGGGTTTGAAGTCGCGGCGGGCGTAGTAAGGCATCTGGTCGGCGAAGTGCGGCGACTCGGGATCTTCGCTCACTCCAAACGGCAAGCAACTGATCGACTTCGTGTCGCCGGAGAAGTCGACAATCATTCCATAGCTGGAACCCACGTTGCAGTAGCGGCGCCCCTTGCGCGTCCCACCGGAAGTCGGTCGCAACGCAGCCCCACCCGTGTTACCGCTGCCGGCAATGCCGAGTTCCACGTCTCCTCGTTCGATGCGGCTGAATTCCTGCCAGGGCACGTCGAGCGAACCGAAGGTTTCATCAACTTCGCCAGCGACCGTAAAAGAGGCCGCGGCCAGCGCTGCGGTGTCTTGCTTCTTCAAGGCTTTGCTGAAGTCTTTGTCGTTCACCAAGTGGTGAAACAACACGGCTCCGCGAGATTCACGGTCGGCACGACGATCCCAGTCGGTTAGAACTTGGTGAACCTGATCGATGGTTTCCTGTTCTTCGTCCGATTCGGCTTCGTAGCCGTCGAGCGCTGCCAAGACTTCGGGCAGTTGCCGTTCGGCTGCTTCAATCTGCGTGTCGGTCGCATAACGGTGCATCTCTTCCCAATCCAGCGAGCTGTCTCCCTCGAGCAACTCACGCAGACGTCGCGAGCGGCTATTGGCCTGCTGGCTCATCATGTACTCGGGGTAGCTCGATGGCTGCGGGGCTACGCTCTCGGTGACATTCTGCGGACCGCTGTTGGTGTTCATCAGAAAACCGCTGGGCGGGTTCGCAACCTGAGGAAGTTCGTCGGTGTCATGAAATCCCTGCCAACGTGCCCAAGCTTCATCGCCGGGCCGTAGGTCATGGCTACCAATACGCGTATCACGACGCGGTACGCGTCCATTGCTGATGTAAAAGATGTTGCCATCGGCGTCGGCAAACACCAGGTTGAACATCACCAACCCCAGTGGCGCGAGCGACGCGCGAAACTCATCCAAGTTCTCAGCTTTGGCCATTTCGTGGAGCTGGTTAATCCCCTCTAGCGACGTAGGCAGCGGAACCGCGAACACATAAGCCACGCCGTCCTTCTCCGCCACCACCGGGCCCACGCTGGTTTCCTTCCATTGATACTTCTGCTCT